GCCTGCATCACTGAGGAGGTCGCCTCGAGGCACCACTCGCAATCTGCGAAGAGGCCCTGCTGCTGGTTGAGATGCAAAACCAGCGGATATATCCTTGGGACAACCCTCCCCAAAAGAAAAAGAAAGAAAGAATGGCTACCCCCCCAAGGAAAAAACAACAAGTCCAAAAGCCCCCCCGCAACTGGAAAAGTTATCCAAGTGAAACCTGTTTGAATTGGTAAAGGAAACTTAGAGAAAACGAAAAGGGCAAAAGAGGATGCACAAAATTGAGCTAAGCCGGGCGATGAATCCACTCCACCATGAGCATCGCCCAGATGGTCATGACCATGAAGCAAAACACCTTGCGGAACATGTGTCAAAAAAGCGTCGCCAACACTAGCGGGTTCCTTTTTGGCTTCCTTTGAAGGTCGTCCACCAAAAGAGGTGTCCTGATTTTGGGACACCTTATTGCCGCATTCAACATGCGATGGGGAAACAAGAGCATGCAGCAAATAGACAAACTCTAAACTCAAGCTCTTAACCAGGAGGAAAGGGCAGAATTCGTGTCCGGTTCCGGTGTGGAACCCCCAAACCCGTCCTGTCCAGACTTGCTCGTCACACTCCGAAGGGGTGTTCACAACTTTGGCAAAAATGAACCACAAAACCCCAAACTCGCGAACTTTCACATCACAAGGCGATGGGTGTTTCTCAAGATAGGGACCCTCAAAATGGATGGTTTTCTGTCTGGTTTAAGCCATGTAGGTTCCCAAATTTGAGGTGTCGTGTCTGCTAAGCCACAAAGGACCACAGCAGTGCCCTCAAGCACGTTGCGGCCATCCGCACCAACTTCTGGAGCTCTCGGAAGGTCCTACGCCAGCTTGGCGATGTGCACCTCACTTTAAACCGTTTGACAACTTTTCTTGGTTCCCGTTGGTTCCCATATGCCACAAGCAAGCGTCGAAACAAACATGGAAAGGACAAAAGGTACAACTGTAAACCCAGGAACTCGACACCTCTCTAAATGGCAATTCTGAAGCACATGAGAGCCTACACCTAGGGACATCGGAATGCATTCTATTGGCATCCAGGACCATTGGCCCTGCAAATATTTCGCGAACCTCACTGCCATAGGTTCACCGGAATGGCGGGAAAAGCATTCGCATTGAGCTGACGCCCAGCACTGCCAAGGTGAAACATGTGCCATTCCCAACATCCACAGTTCCGAATGCCCTTTCTGGGAATCACTCGGCTTCATCTCTCCAATGTACCGAAAGATGGGACGGGCAGTCACAATATTTCGCACTTGAAACCAGAAAGCGCAAAAGAGAGTTCATGGACCAGAATTTGGAAAAACATATCTCAAAGGGCCGGTGTCCCCAACGGCTCAAAGACCCTGGCAAAATTACTCTCTTCCGGGCTGAAAGTGCTCCCACGATGGACATTCCACCACTGGAAAAGGGGTGCTCGCTGCATATGATACCATGCGTGATCAATAGATGAGTCAAACATGAACAAATGCTCAATGCGCATGGATAAACAGCCCCTTCAATGCATTCACTGGCGCCAAACCAGAAGCGTAATTCCCGAAAGGAGGTTTGCATGCGTGGTTTGGCGTCCTCGTCTTGCGCAAGAGCCGGGTTAACCGGAAGATTCGCATCAGCCGCAAGGCCCGCGAGATGCCGATGGATGCCACCACCGTGCCCAGGCCAAATGCCTCCAAGATCATCTCAAGGTACCCACAGGCAATGACCGCAACGTCAACAAATACCTCAGGTCATTCGTTTCTTTATTTTGGGGGAGGGAGGCGGGGGAAGGCAGTTGGGCCAAAACTGTGAAAAGGCTTGGGACGGCTGAGCACACTGCCAGGTGTAGTCCGCCGAGGCCCTTGGGTATGAGGCGATTAGATCACTGGAGCGAAGCGACTGAGATGTAAGCATAGCATAAGAACTAGTACTAGTTAGTACTTCAGGCCGCCCTTACCCCACGCTGAGAAAAACATGCGCACCTTTGGAGTTGCTGAGTTTAGAGCGTGTGTTTTGAGTGCATATTGCTTCTCGCGGCGCAAGCGCGCTTTTTAGCCAACCGTGCAGCGTCAAGGTTCGACTTTGTGGCATGGTTCATGGGGCTTTGGGAGGTTTGCATTATCACAGAAAAGGCAATTGTCGCCAGCATCACCGGTTTGCGTTGCCAGCATCACCTGGTCACATTGCTGGCTTTTGGCAATGCAAAACAGCCCAGTCGAATAAACTGGGATGTTTTGAAAAAGCTCCACATCGGCAGCATCATTTGTCGGCATTGCCAGCATCACCTGTTCAATAGCCGCTCTCTCAGCCCTTGCTGCTGAGGCAGGCTTAAATGGCTTCTTTATAGCATGGTATGGGCATAAAGCAACCCACATACAGACACACACACACACGCACACAAACACACACACACACAAACACACACACACACACCCACACACCCACACACCCACACACCCACACACCCACACCCACACCCACACTCACAGCCACACCCACGCACGCACGCACGCACGCACGCACGCGCACACGCACACGCACACGCACATGCACATGTGCACACACGCACGCACACGCACACGCACACGCACACAAACACACACAAACACAAACACACGCACACACACAAACACACACACACACACACAAACACACACACACACACAAATACACACACACACAAACACACACACACAAACACACACACACACACAAACAAACACACACACACACACACACACACACACACACACACACACACACACACACACGCACAACACACGCACGCACGCACGCACGCACGCACGCACGCACGCACGCACGCACGCACGCACGCACGCACGCACGCACGCACGCACGCACACGCACGCACACGCACACGCACGCACGCACGCACGCACGCACGCACACGCACGCACACGCACACGCACACGCACACGCACACGCACGCACGCACGCACACGCACACGCACACGCACACGCACACGCACACGCACACGCACACGCACACGCACACGCACACGCACACGCACACGCACACGCACACGCACACGCACACGCACACGCACACGCACACGCACACGCACACGCACACGCACACGCACACGCACACGCACACGCACACGCACACGCACACGCACACGCACACGCACACGCACACACGCACCCACGCACCCACGCACACACGCACCCACGCACCCACGCACCCACGCACCCACGCACCCACGCACCCACGCACTTACGCACCCACGCACCCACGCACCCACGCACCCACGCACCCACGCACGCACGCACACACAAGCACACACAAGCACACACAAACACACACACAAACACACACAAACAAACACACAAACACACACAAGCACACACAAACACACGCACAACCACACACAAACACAAACACAAACACACACACACAAACGCACACACACAAACACACACACACAAACACAAACACACACACACAAACACACACACACACACAAACACACACACAAACACACACACACACACACAAACACAAACACACACACAAAAAAAAAAACACACACACACAAAAACACACACACAAAAACACACACACAAAAACACACACAAAAACACACACACAAAAACACACACACACACACAAAAACACACACACACACAAAAACACACACAAAAACACACACACACACACAAAAACACACACAAAAACACGCACACAAAAACACACACACACACACACACACACACACACACACACACACACACACACACACACACACACACACACACACACACACACACACACACACACACGCACACGCACACGCACACGCACACGCACACGCACACGCACACAAACACGCACACACAAAAACACACACACACACACAAACAGACACACACACACACACATGCTAGACACCAGCAGCCCAGGCGCGACCCAGTCCTTGAATAGGCCTTTGCCCTTGATCACAAAGAGAATGAACACCTCTAGGGTGTAAAGCGACAGGCACATGTCGGAGACTCCATCGATTATTGTCCCTGACTCAATACCAGCGGCGCGCGAATCAATATCCCAGCATGTGCAAAAGGCATCCACGAGGATCACAAAGGCCATGAAATTCACAAAGTAATTGCTGCGGGTCAGGTTCATGGCCACTCTCGTGATGGTGCCGAAGAAATCATCGACACCACCAACTCTATCGAAGCCAGCAGTTTGTGTTCGAATGAACTGGCCGGCGACTGCAACACTTTGCCGCCTTGCGCTCACGGCTTCACGCATGGAGCATGATTCGAGTTGAAAGGCTTACATGGTGCCACTGACAGCTGCTGCCCCTGTGTTGGGCGTTTTGTGGAGATGTTATCCTTTGGGGTTGTTTTCAAGGGAAAGTGAAGGGTCCCATGGGGTCGGTACAACGCCCCTTTGAGAGCACCCTCCCACTGTTTCCGGCGCTCGTCGCGCCTGTTCCGATGCGAGGAGGAGCGGCCGACACTGCTGCTCCTCAATGGGCTTGCGTCGCCGCCGCTGAGAGTCGCGCTCACACCGGGCGATCTGCTCGAGGGGGAGGTTATGTCCGGCATGGCAAGCACAAGAAAAAACGTTCACCACACCGGCTGGCAAAATGCGAGCTGAGCTGTGAGAGCTGTGAGAGCTGTGAGAGCTGTGAGAGCTGTGGGAGCTGTGGGAGCTGTGTGGGCGGCATGCTGCAAGCCAACGCCACGGGTTGCACCCTCCCACAAGTGGCCTGGAAATTGTGACCAGGTAGTGACTTAGTGCCACGTTCGATATGTTCTAAATAAACGACCTCAGCCACGCACACAGTCGACCGCGCGCTCCCGGCGTAGTCCGGCTGCCGAAGCCCCAATGACACATGAGCTCTCCATTTCAAGTCCCTTCCGAAGATGCCAAACCCCCGGGCCCCATGTTGCTGGATGGCCCAACACGGCCTCAACAAATGGCCCCCTGGCCTCGTAGGCCCGAGGCCGTGAGTTCTGCAGCCCAGGTTCCAAGCCCGAGTTCTTGCCGAAGTCGACGAGCTGATGCTTCGGGTCTTCCACCACCTGAAATCACAGGAGGCCAAGTGAAGCACCAACCGTAGCCTTGCGCAAAGTGAGGTTGCTGAGTGAGACCTGAAATCTGACAGATCAAAACCCAAAGCACCAACCATGCAGGCCATCAATTGTTGGGAAAGGTCCGCAACCGTCTTTTGATGTATGGGTGGGAGACGGATGTTTGTTTTCGCAATAAATGGGCCTTTCTCCCCTGCAGTTTAGTGAGGGGAAAGTCCTGTTACCAAATGCCTATCATGGCAAGGGACCTTTGACAGCTGGGGTCTTCGGTGCTTGGTGTCCACAACAGGGTATGGCTGAGTCTTGAAAAAGGGCATCCCTTGATTTTATTTGTTGGCCACATGCGCCCGGCTCAACCTCCCCAAACTTACTTCCCAGCGGTGTCACATGTTCAAATTCCACACCCGAACCCCTACGTAGATCTGATTTTTTTACTCCGCTCCAATTTAGGGCTGCCCCCGGCCATTCTGAAAGGCACCTCCGACAGTGTGCGTTAAAGGATTGGAGGACTGAGTGCTTCTTTCCCTTGATTACCTCTGAAACAACCGCCTCTTTTCTTGGGGGGAGCATCAAACCAAAACACCCCCATCTCCTCACCAAGGCTCCCTAGATTTGCCTAGCATCACCAAACTGGAAGATACTGGAAGGCTTTAAAGGCACCAAATGCATCCAAGAACCCGTCCTGCAAATCAGCAGCTAGTTGCGTGACTTTTAGAGTTGCTTACCTTGGCGTTTTCAAAATTAAGGTTTCCTTCTTATGGTTGGCTTCCATTGAAAGCATCCAGAAAGAGAACCATTTGGGGAAACACCTGCATGCATCTTACAGGGACCCAATTGAAGCATGGTCTTCCAGTTTTCCCTTCAAGGCACCGCCAGACAAAACTCTCCGCGCCCGTGCAGTGCGGCTGGCCGAGCCGCAGGTGTGGGCGGCGGTGTGGGGCTCTCCTGCAGCAACTTCCGCACCGCCGTGCTCACGTTGCGCAGGGCCGCGGAGCCTGGCGCTAAGGCTATATTTGAGTTGAAATACCAGGATTCAAGCGAATCAAGAACGCCCAGTACTATGGCAGCACGATGCAAACGCGAGTCCCTTTTCCTTGAGCCAAAACGGTGGCAAATACAAATCTCATGCACCATACGCGAAGAGGAAGTTAAAAGGAACACAACCCCATGAAAAACTGGTTTGTTCAACTCCCCCTTCTTGTGATTCGGGTTGGTGCAGACCGGGTCTCAGCGAAGGGTGATTTCATCCCTTGCTAGAATGATTGCATCAACTTAGAAAGGCAACCAAAAGACAATTCTCGAATTAATGACACGGATTGAATTAATGATTCAGGCATATGGCACCATCTCAAGCTGCTAGCTGATGCGCGTGAAAAGCAAAACAGCGTATCAAGGATTTGAGATGTAGGCTTGACAAGCATAATTGAGTGCAAAATGTGCCTCTAGGCTTTGAATATCTTAGCCTAGATAAATCTGTTCTGCATTTGACGGTGAGCTTTGCTGTTCCCGCTTGAGTGCCCTGCGTCGTCGTGGCTTTTGTGTGGAATTTGCAAATGCTCAAGTGCGGCGTGCCCGGTCATCCCACAAGGACACCGGTTTTAGGGCATGAATGCCTCCCTGGTTCACACACAAGTTTCTTTGCTGCAATGCGAATCAAGACACAAAAGCTTCAACCTGGCGACACAAGGGTGACTAGCAACGACCTGGTGAAAGCAAAGCATTGTCATGCAATTCACTTCACGTGATACCTAATTGCGCTCACCTCATATCGTGAGGCACTCGAAGCAGCCAAACACGGCAGGGGCAGGTGAGGTGTTCGTTTTGGCTTTGACTGCGGAACATCCCCAACATGGATCAAGTCAAGGCCAGCGCCCCACTTCTGAGGGCCAAGTGCCTTCGTCAAGATATCTCCCTTCTGCTCAATTGTCACAACGTAATCTAGTTTGCAATATGGCGACGTTGATCTTATGAGTCTTTTGCAAGTGCCGCAACTTGGAAGAGTATCCTTTAGATACAATCGCAAGGACAGCCCGATTGTCTTCCCAACACTTCACCAGAATCTCACGGCCGAAGAGATGACTACAGGCAATCTCCTAGGGCGTCACATCATTGTACATGGCGGTGGCCAAAGCCACTGTTTCGGATTCAGTCGTTGGTCGGCTGGTGACAGTCTGCTTTCGGCTCACCCACATTTTCGTCTTCAAGGGCAATGAAGTAACCCGAGCAGCTCCTCACGGTGCTGACACAGTCACCAAAACTCTCGTCTACCCAACTTGCTCCACTTAGTCACATGGGCTCCCAACAAGTTAATGCTTACTTGCAAATCCGGCCGGCACAGTCGAGCAAGCCACAACAACTTCATGACAATCCTTGCAGCACTGCCGAGAAGTTCCCCCCTGGCAGTGAGGTCCTCTGGACTCAACGATCCATCTTCTAGATGTGGGGCGCTAGCAGCGCGCACTGGCATGTCTGTTAGCTCTTTGTATCTTTCCACGCATTGCTGACCGACATCTGCGGCTTGAAACGCGAAAGCTTCTTCACCTTTCCAAATCACTTTCTGATGAGATCGTCCTAAGACGATGGTCAAGGACATGGGCTGTTCGAGTTTCACCGCTTCCCAAATTCCAGCCAGAAACCGGTATGTCGAGATTCTTCACCACTGGGCTTAAAGTCGTCCACGTAGGCCGACAGAGCCATTTTGGAAGATTTAAACATCAGCTTGCCTCCCATCGACTGCAATGCTGCGTCGGCGTGCTTCCACCAGTTGGCCAAGGATTCTGCCAAGACTTTTCCGGAGCCTGGCACATGGTTGTACCACATGAGAAAACTTTCGCGGCGCCAATTCTGGTGGCAAGATCACCCATGTTTAGGGGCTTGTGTGAAAGCTTTTACCGCGTCAGCGGTGGAGCATTTATGCCCTGGCTCCTGTCCCCGTGCGATCACGAAGTTGAGCCCTGCAGTTGATGACGGCGCTGATTCTGCCAGCTCATCAAAGACAGCGCTCAAGCCCTCTTGATTTTTAACTGCGTCTCCACGAAACACTATCCTTGCCTTCAGGGTCCACACAGCGGGGTCTCTCTCAAAGTGTTTCACTGAGACAATTCTTTTTAGATCCAACATGAGTTTCAACCTTTTCACGCCTTGCCCGAGCCAAGAGCTCTTCGTGAGGGATGATGCTATCTTCCTCCCACGTGCCTTCAGCAAGGATACCTGCTTTTTCTGATTGAACAGCTGCAAGCGCACCTGGATTTCCTGACCACTCTTTGCGGTCAAGGAGCTTGTGAACTCCTCCAAGCACGGGAATCTTGTCAACTTCGGCTTCATACATTGCAATGTCAATTGGAAGGCATGGCAGGGCATGTGGCTGCCGATGTTGCTGCGAATTCATTGGCAAGGGCCTACAGGGCATAGATGAAATGTATTTCCATGTGATGTAGGGATTCCCAGATCACTCTTGCCACTTTCGGAGGGTAAAACCCTGCTTGGCGCTTTGATTGGCACGTGGCGTTTCCGGAAATGGGATTGCGCTCTCCCTGCTCATGGGTGCATTGGTACTGTGACAGAGTTCCGGCAAGCCGCTTTGACGATGCAACGATACGCCAAGGTTTCTTGCGCGGTTTGCCTTTAAAGCAACTCCCAGCATGCAACCATCACACGTCACTGAGAACAGTCGATGGCGATCGATCCACTTTGTAAGTTCAGGAAGCGCCCAGCCAGCACAAAAGCGAAAGAGACATCTCCACCCAATGCGAGGATAATTTCTGACACCTGCACAAAGGATCGAAGCATATTCCTTGACGCTTTCCTAGACGATTCAAAGAGTCGCGCGTCGCAGGGTATTCAAAGCAATTCACAATGCCTTTTTTATGCAGCTGGGCAACCTTTCCAGGATTGGTACCTTCAGTTCGGTGACCTGGCGGATCACTCGAGATTCCCTGGACGGACATGCCTTTCACTCATGATGCTGGCAAACCTAAGGTCTCCTTGTCATGAGCAACTGCAAGAGAAGCATCAACACCTGACATGATCATAGCAGGGGCAGGCAGTGCGACGACCTGCATCAGAACTGACCTCACAGGGCTCAGTATCCGAAAGGAATGATTCAGGTTTCATCGACTGCCGCAGGATCAAAACTGTGCGAACACCCGCTGCTGGCAGGTGAACGAACAGGGTCTTCACCTACAAGTTCATCCGGATCTTCAAGAGCCGGGAGCACGTCATGATCAAGAGGCATGGGCTCAAGCGACGCGTAGGGGTCGATTACATCAACGTCAGGAGAACAAATCTCAACTGACGCTTGCGGCAGGTGATGCGCATCCACAACGCTATTACAAGCTTTGTCGACGTCGGCATATTCAAAGGTTTACAACGGGAGGACCAACCTTAATAGTTCGCTCAATGGTTGTACGTTGCAGCTCCACAACCTCGGCCGTCAGGAGTACAAGCAACCTACGCTGTGTGATGTAAATCCTCTTGCCCTTGACACTGACTTGATCAATTTGTGAATGGCAAAGGCAGAGGCTCCACTGCCTCAGGCATCGTGGGAGACTGGAAGTGATCCTGAACATCCTTGGCATTAAGATCTTCACGCTCGTAATCAAGGGTGTCTTGCTCCACCGGAAATCAAAACCACGCATCGTACTGTCCTTTGAGAAGTGTTTGATGCTCTCAATGTGGGGTCGAGCTTTATGAAACTCCCTAAACAACCATTCCCCTAGGCCCTAGGCGATCTGATGGGAGCTCATCGCTGGGAACGGCTGACATGGTCTGCGCAACTTTCCTGGCAAAGCTTTACACCTGAGCAACCCCAAGACCTGCGGGCTCTAAGGAAAGCAAGGGCAGTAAGCATTGAACCTCGTGCTCTACCCAAGCCAAAATGCATAGCAATCGTTAGGATGAACCTACCACGGGGCGCCTTTCCATCACGTGCGCCAACTCTCAAGAATCTTGTGGAAGTCAATTCGGACGCAAGCCACCTATCAAAGCAAGGGAAACCGTCACTTCTCTCATCAAGGTGGTTGAGATCTCCAGAAAATGACTCATTGATCCACTGTGTGATGGCATCGGTCCCACTGATGTCACACTTGGCGCAGGACAGAATGAGCGCATTCTTCCATGAGCGGAAGGCTGCAGCATTGTTTGGAGGAATTGGATTTCCAAACGCGTGTGTGGGCGAATCCACTGATCTTTGATTGGGATTTTCACTATATGGAATTGGAATTCGACCCGCGCTAGTTTGACTTTGGGAGTTGCCTTCCATCCATCCTTTGGGCCAAACTGGTGATGGCGTCCAACACTTGGGCTAAGTTAGATCCATCTTGAAGACCATTATCCTCATGATGCCCGGCCTGGCTCTCAAGTGCTGGTGGGGTGGCAATGGAATTCTCCTGCACCGTCTCCGATGGACATCCGACTCTCGCAGCAGCCGATCGGAGCCTGGAGATATCATTGTGGGCAGCATCCAACTGTTGGCACACGTCAGCATGTCGTTGATGCAACTGTTGATTTCCAATTTGCAAGTCAGAATGCCGTTCCACAGTTGCAGTGATCTGCAAGATGCTCTCGCGGAGGGCGCCAATGGTTTGCAGGGCTCTTGACACACTTGATTGGCCAACATCTCAGCATTGTCTGCTGTTTGGGATTGCTGGCTAGCATGTTCAACTGATGCCCTGGCATTTCAAAGCAACCCCGCTACCTCACAAGGGCCTACCCCGACTTGCACATGTGCAACGCTCTGTTGCATGTTGGATTGGCTGTCTCGATCTCCGCCCCGAAACTCGTTGCGAGTCAACTGCATGGGTGCCTGAACTTTCACTTCTTGACCTTGAAGATGATGTCCTCATGGCGCCAGGCGCTGCATGAACACCACTTAGAACCCTACTGGAATTGGATGTACTAAGCTCTAAGCTGGTGTCCTGCGACATCTCTACAAGGTACACAGGTTGTGGATGGCAAAACACTGGGCTGAATGCAAATGCATGATGAACTTCGAAGCGATGACACGCAAAACACTATACAGAGCAGCTCGATTGCAGACTTCTGCCCTTTATACTGTACAGTGATCTTTGCCCTAGGCCAAACACCGCCCGAGCACTGCCAAAGCCAGTCCTATTCACCGGCCAGAGGCAGAGTGCCGAAGTTTCCCTCGTCTCACACGACAAGTAATGGCGAAGCAATGCCGTCACGTGAGTCACTCCCTGTTCAACGTTCGAGAAATACTGACAGGACCCAAACCGCGGCTTGCGAGGCACAGTGACACCGATGGGAAACGCCCGACTGCCACCCTCAGAGAAGTGTTGCAATACCGACCGATCATCAAGTGAATCAATGCCTTGGCGTTGGGAAACACAGCACGCAGATTGGCCAACTTGCCTTCTGGCCCATCACGCTCAGCAGTAAAGATGGCCCGGTTGACCAACAAATAACAAGTCCCGCCTGTTGTGAGTCAGGCTGACAAGGCAGCAATGCAATTGGTATGATCTGCAATACGTCCAGTGCGCCGATGCGGAGGAAAAAGGCTCAGAACTGCCGTGTAAACAGAAGGGAAGCTCGCCTGTGTTGGTCACTGGCAATGAATTGTCCGGAGCGTACCCAACCCGCAATGGATTATCAGTACTATGGCAGCACGATGCAAACGCAAGTCCTTTTTCCTTGAGCCAAAAATAGTGGCAAATACAAATCTCATGCACCATACCCGAAGAGGAAGTTGAAAGCAACACAACTCCATGAAAAGCGGGTTTGTTCAACTATTTCTAGCAGATTCAATTCCCCGGATTATTCAACCCCAGTTTGTTGATAGGACATGTCCCTGGGTGTGGGAATCGTCACTTTTAGAGAGGAACAACAACGTTGGATGATAAATCTGTGGGGAATCCAAGGGGATGAGCCGCTCGAGGGGTGAACCGTTGGGAACTGTTGGTTTCCACATGGATGAACTAATTCCCTCATTCCCATGAATAAAGCACAGAACAAACGAGAAACAGGGGGGGTTCACGGCCTGGTGTTCCAGGTTGGGGTCCATAGAAGGTAGCACAGTGCGACAGTTCAAGCCCCCGCCTTTCTGTAGGATGGGTGGGTTCATGGTTCCCCCCACCAAGGCCCCCCCTGTGGGATGGGTGGGGGGGGGGTATAGACGGTAGCACAGAGTGAGATGGACCCATACCATTTTGGGCGGGGCTGGGGACGACCGGCGACAAGAACATTTTTAGTTAAAAATCTGAGACGTAGACATGCCCAAGGCCAACCAACCTAGTGACCCTTTGGATGTCATGATTGGCCCGCCCAGCCGCATGAACCCTGACCCTCACGGTCTCACACTCCCACTATACACACAGCTAGTAATTACAAACCTCCGCTGGAAAGGTGATGCCGCAATGCCACATGGGAGAAAGATCAAAAACAAGTGCGACCCTGGCGCCAACCTCCTGACAGCCATTGTCCCAAAGGCTTTTCTCCACTGCCCAACCACTAAGTTACATACCCTTCGCGTGCACAGGGCCTACATAGGTGACTCACAGTGATTCTGTACCGCCCTTTTTTGTAGGGAGCTAGTCGCTTGGGGTAGTGAAAACCCTCGACATTGGCCCATGGCCCATAGGTGACTCACAGTGATTCTGTACCGCCTTTTTTCGTAGGGAGCTAGTCGCTTGGGGTAGTGAAAACCCTCAACATTGGCCCATGGCCCACCTTGCTCGTTGATTGCGGTGTCCACCTGTCCGCAGATGAGCTCCTCACATCGTCACGCGGGACATGCCCCGCTCATGTCTGTCTGTCTGTCTGTCTGTCTGTCTGTCTGTCTGTCTGTCTGTCTGTCTGTCTGTCTGTCTGTCTGTCTGTCTGTCTGTCTGTCTGTCTGTCTCTCTCTGTGGAACTGTGTGTAGGTATGCATGTGCGCATGTGTGTCTTCAAGGTCTTTGACAAGTCTTTTGCGACAAACACAAGAGGAGGGACAACGATGGCTGCAGCCCAAGCTCGGATAGTCGCTTGTTCAGGTACGACTGGATCAATGGCTTGAGGAACTCGAGCACCATCGAGATTCCAGAGCCGGAAAACGACAGCTCTGCCTGGGGTGAGGCTGACGCTTTTCGCGGGGCGGTGTATGCTCTCAAACTGGAAGGCGCCGGCCTGAATGGAGCCGCTGCAGCCGTGGGCATTGATGGATTGGGGGAGCGGCGGCTGCAAGCTGTCCGAGGCCTCGCAGTGGCAGTCCCCCTGCTTCTGGTTGTGCCGGGGCTGGATGCCCCCGAAACTAGGCACACAACTGATCCGAAGGGGACTAGGTTCTTGCTGGAACCTCACCCCATCAATGAAACCGCGACTCTATGGCAAAAGGGTCATGCGTCAACTCACTGAATATTCAGAACTTCTGTGCTGTGCGTAGTGCATTCCAAGTGCAGCCTGCCCAGAAAGTCAAAACCCATGAGCCATTGAGTACCCAGTCAGGTTGGTCCAACAATTTCCTGCGAATCGCCCCTCCGCGATGGCGCCACTGAGGAACACGGACAACCCCTCCCACCAGCGTGACGGGGCCACCGATGCTGGCACCGTTCACCTCAGCGTCCACCTCAGTGGAGAGCCATGAAGCCGGGACTGGGCAAGAGCCCGAAGGGCAGATTCCTGTTCTGGTGGTTCAGTCCCCAAGTCTTCCAAACCGTCCGCCTGCCTTCCTAAGTCTCTGCTTTGCTTGATTTGCATCTTAGCGCTAGCTGAAACCAAGCAGCGTCCCCAAAGAAATGAAACAGGAGGTTCTTTGCATCCCACTTCAGGTCGCAGTGGATGTCCAAGCCGGATGCCTGGTGTGGCACGCAGCACGCGAGAAGGCAGCATCAGGTACACAATGAACCACGACATCTCGTGGATCTCATGCAACTTCCGTTCCTCACAAACACCGCAACAAAATGGCAAAGCTCAAGTTAGCCGGGCTCACAGTGACGCTGAGACCGCTGGGCACGCTCTGCGTAGTGATGTGGGCTACCTTGAAGTGGGTGCACACGCCATCGCTCACCTTGATGTTGAAGCCACCTGGCCCACTGTTGAGGGATGCCACGTGGCGGTGCAAGATCTGGAGCTTCTGTGATGCATAGACACTATAGACGTCAACATGAGGCTACTCGGCCAATGTTTCCTTTTGCACTGGTGCTGCTGTCTTTTTTGAAAAAGGGGGAGGTCCAACAAGAGACACCTGACAAGTTTCCTTGGATTCCGACAGGTCGGGCCTGCGGCCTGACTAATCGTTGGGATCTGCAGGCGTAGGTTCCAGAGCCATTGCTCTAACCAACTCCTTGGTTGAAGGCAAAAGTGTTTACCCCCCAGTTTGCCCGATTTCTATATTTTCTTGGTTTTCCTGTTGGAATGGAGGAAGCGGGTCATTCCAAATAGGGGCTGACGCAGAAAGGGGGACACTGGGTCTGGCTATGTGAAGCAAGGGCCGCTCGTCCAGTTCATTCCACGACCCCCTGAACGTGAGGCCACCATTGAAACGCTTTCAAGCTGGACGTGAACATTCGGGCTACACTGCTTTGGGCAAGTGCCCACTTAAGAAGTGACCCCTTAAGAAGCTAACCTTGAGGGGCAGGGGGGTTGTTTCCCAGGGGGGTGGCCTACCATGAAGTCATTCGAAAATGGCAACTCAAAATCGAGATTGACAACAGGTCTCGTATGAAACATCCAAACCGTCCCAAACGTGATGCGTGTCATGGCCCAAGCCCCAAAAAGGACAAACGATCCTCTTTCCAATACTGGAAGTGGGGCCTTGGGCCTTCCCCAAAACCGCCAAAGATGGTCCCAAACTTTCCTGGCAGCTTCCACGACTGGACAAACCGTTCAGCTTCCATGCCGAGTGTCTCCGAGCGCAGCCGGCTGAGCAGCTGAAAGCCTTTGCCCGCAGCGTCTGGGGAGAGCCCCAGCCTTATGCCGAAGGCATCAGCAGAAAGACAGCTGTTGAAACACAGGGGAGCCCAAAAACTTGGATGGCTAAACAAATCCAGGATTACAAAGGCCATGATGGAAGAACCACGGTAGGACCAGGTAGAACCGGTTTTTTGAAAACCTCTGGCAGTTTGGCAGTCTCATTTGCTCGATGATTTCTGGAGAAATAGTCGTCCCCTGCTACGCTCCCTACTTTCTAGGACGCGCTTCCGAGGATCAAAGCCTGCAATGCTGCACCGAGAAGCAGAGTCTCAGCTTCTGCATCCTAAGCGTCGGGTGGACCAATTGGATACGCCGTTCCCGCGAAAGTGACACCCTCATCCGAGTCCGACGGCCGACTCCCGCAGTGGCCCTTGCAATGTTCCTTCCGAGCATGTAGCGAAAGGCCCTTGCATGGATTCCATTAAAAAACCAAAAAAACTCAAAAGTGCCACACCACTGAAGTTGTGCGTTTGATTCTGGCAGATATCCAGCAAACCTTGACATGTTGCTTTTTGACCCCTAAAGGAACATGCGCTGGACAAATCTGGAGCAGAATTGTCTGGCTCTAAACTGACAACCTCCAAGCCGCACTTTGAGAAACAAGGTTAACTTCAAAACACATCCCGTCATTGATGTCTGCTGCCTGAGGTGCGGAAATGACCACAGGCACCGCAGCAGCTGGCCAAGCTGCCAGCAACAGCCTAGGCGGTTTCCCTTGAATCTCGTTTGAACCCACTCCAAAAAGGAGGGACAGCTGTTGTATAGCGCTTAGTGGGCAAAGATGTAGAACTCGCAGGTGTATGGGGTCCCTTCTTGCAGCATTCAAAAAAGCAAAAGGCGGACGCACATTGCCAAGAAGCGGTAGGTGTATTATCCGACGCCATGCCATGGCAGCTAGAAAAATCCAGGCGAGCACCCAAGCGGCGCAGCCTGCAGTGTGAACTTCTGGATGTGTCCAAAAAAATGGCATGAGCAGATGCTTCAATGAGCCATATGTTCGAGTACTCCTGAGGTGAGTGAAGGTGGCGGCGAGGAAGCCAGGGCTCGACGCCTTCTTCACACATGCCAAGTGGCTCGCAGGCAAGCATCCACATCGTGCCATGACATGCTGGAATATTCCCAGCCCAATGTTAGCGCTGGCATGAGCACATCACGTGCTGTGGATTGATGACCAACCTCTCATCAAACGACTCTAGCGCCGCTCTCCGTTCCCTCATTCCCTGTGGCGCAGCCAGTGCAAGAACCAAAGACCAACGCCCACGGCGGTTTCTCGCCCCATCCAACTGGGCGCTGGGGCGTGCCGCTCGCCCTGCCGCGTGCCCTGTGGGCCTCGGATCCGAATGTTCGAATGCCAAAGTGGCCCTGGCAAGAACTGAAAGCCCATTGGGGCCTTTGGGGTGATCATTTTCGAGGAGAACCAAGTGGATCCAAATGGGTAAAGCATGCCACTGAACAACTGGGTCCCAGTTGCGCGTGATGCCGCCAGCACCTTCCCTCAAGGAATTGCCGTGGCACTCTTCAAAGAGCCAGGAACACATTGACATGAGGATGAGTTTGCTGACTCAAACTTGAAGGCTCAAACTTCCATAAGTATTCCTGAAGTCCTTTCAAAATCCCATGTGTGCAAGGCTGAGCCGGGCTTACTTCGGGGACTCGGCATGCGCGGGGACAGGGGGGCTGGTGAGTCATCACGAAGCCTTTCCGACTCCCAAAGCCTTCCTCTGCCAGTCCCTGCTTTGCCGTGAGACATGCTCAGGGTCTGGCGCCCACCCGCCATGCGGCAGGAGCCTTTCTTTGGTGCCTACGGGCTGAGAGGGCTTGGGCAGCTGTGAGCTACTTTGTGGAACGAGCTGTGGCTTGCAGTGCTGAAAGAGGGATAGCCTGAAGTACAAGCCTGCCTCCCAGAATTAGAACAGGTATGAACATATTGTCCTGGAACAGGCTAAACGCCGAAACATGCTGGCGGTTAAGTGGAGTTCTTCACCATCCGGCCCTGCTTGTGGCTAAATCCGGCAAGGGGAGGTTTCGGCGCACTGGATTACAGGCACTCAGCGCAAGCGAAAAGCTCCGAGTCTGCGACGGCATAAGGGTCAGGCGTCCCTCGCCACTTCCTTTGAGCGAAGGCAATCTGAGCCGTGCTTCACAAACTTCCCTAGGGACCCCTTCATGGGTTTTGCCAAGGCGAGCCTCACTATGTCAAAAAAGGCCAGTCTCAGGGGTCTGTGACTTCTGTCTCGCCGCCTTTCTCCCCCCCTGAGCATTCTCAGGGCCTGGCTGCCACACCTGAGTGGTCAAGCTAAGATGGCCAACCTCCTCCTGCTTTCGAGCAAACTGAGTTTGGTCTCTATTCTTGCTTCTTGGCATGCTCAGGGAGCGCATGCTCGCCTGCAACTTGCACTCAGGCCCAGGCAGTCTGCAACTCGCCGTTGCAGCCAGAGCACGCCGTGCACTCCTGCTCCTCAAGGCCGCAATTGAGCGGCAAACGCCCCAAGATGTAGACTTGTTTTTGGCCAAAATGGCACAGGCGCTGCAGCGCTGCAGAAACCGCTGTTGCTGTTGCCGAACTGATGGGGAGGAGCGGTGCCGAAAACGGTGTGCTGACCCTGATCAACCGGTGACAGGATTTGTGTGGAGTGTTTGCATTTGGAGCGGGCATTGCCTGCTTGCCCCTGCATGCATGGCACAACAGCCTTTAGACTGTCAGACTATCAGGCTATGCTCGGCACGCAACTTGGTCTAGTGGTCTTGTGATTACTTTCAAGCTCGCGCTTTGCCCAGGGCATGGTAGCTTCACCTGAAAATGGAGCCCTTCGTGTCAGTCATGTTGATTCGCCTTGAGGGAATCAGAAACTGGATTTAGGGCAATCAGAACTGGAACCTTGCTGTACTCAAAAACCCCTGTGGAGGTCCTTTTTTGTGTGTGGGAGGGGCGGCTCCCTGCTTGCGGTGCCGAGGCGCCGCCAATCTCGAACTCCCTGAGCTCAGCTGATTGGGCCTCCGGAACTCGCGACTTCGAATGAGAGATGCGACGCCCTGCAAACCCCAAGGGGGTGTTGTGATCTCCTTGTGGCTGGATATGGCTAGATGTCAAATGGTGGTTGCACCAATTTCCGTTCCAGGCAGTTGCCGGAACATGGAGGGGCTACAGCGAAGTGGCAAACCTCAAAGCCACGAGGGAAAGAGACGCGGGTGTGGAGGGGATATGGCAGCGGCACCTGCAAAGATCGAAGTACACATTGGCAACAAACATCTCTTCTAGGAATCCAACACTCTGTGACCTTAGCACATGCAACATGCAGGTGATCACGGTCGAGTGCAACTATCTTGAAAGGCCTGTGGAGGCTAGGGGGTCACCCACACACGGGGCCCACAAGGTCCTGCCCAAATGGCACGAGGGCGCCACCAACATTGGTTGCGGATGACGTCATGGCCTTGGTCCAATTGAGTCCAATCCCCCACAACCTCTGACCCGCCCGCTCGAAGGCTCCACGTACAACAAAATCCATGGACCCAACTCAAACAGCCCATACTGCAGGCTGAGCCCACTGCTGTAGAGCCAGCGGTCGCAGTGCCTCTGCAGCACCTAGCGCTGTACGATGACTCAAGAAGCCCTGCCAGCGAGCCTCCAAGGCATCTGCCTCTCTTCCCAGAGGAATCCACACAAATCACCGGATCACACCACACGAGCCTGGCATCCCCATGACATGGGCAAGCCTTCCAGCGGAGCAACTTTTTGCCCAGGGCTGCAGGTTGGCGTTCACACTGCGCGCTTTCTCGGACCGCACTCGATGAGAGGAGCGCAGGCACGTGCTCCCACCTGCCAGCAGTCCTCGGGAAAATGTTTCGTCACCCAAACCCCACTGATCACTGATGTGCATGAGCGAACTGGCTGAGCAGGCTCAACTCAGAACCTTGCAGCCAATCATGGGATCGAGCCTTTTGACTTTTGTTGATTGCTCACTCTGGACCAGGGCTTGGATTGACGGACATTTACCTGCCATGCGGCTGGCACCCCTTGACCAGGATGTCGTATGAGAGCACGTCAGGATCGACACCTTAGCGCCCCACGTCCGTATGCCAAAATGGCCAGGTTTGTTTCAGGTGCAGAGTGAGCGACTTGCAGACTGCGCAAGCGGCAACTAACATATCGCATAACATCAGCTTCAACGTGGACTCCATGAAGAAGCCCGTGCTCAGTGCATGTCCAAGGCTCGCTTCCCTTGCATCTGCCGCAGCACCTCCAGGGCTTTGTGGAGGTTCCCAGCTTGAACGCAGCTGTAGAGAACGCTGTTGCAGCCTGGGTTGCATAACATAGACGCCAAACCTTTGTCGAATCACTGACTCCTGGCATGATTCCCACTAGAGCTTGTCCTCGGCTGTAAAAACATGGCTTTGCCGTGATACCAAACTTGGCCATCCCTATGACTCGACTGCTGTATCACTTTAAAAAGGGACCCTGGGTATCGCAGAAGCTGACCCGACAATGACATTTGAGCTATGACGCCGATCAATCTGAATTGAGAACCTCCAACACCAAAGGCCTGTTGAATTCACATTTGTCGTTTGGTCGCCAGGCAGCTCACCACCTCACCAGCCAGCCGCAACGCTGCCTGCCAGGCTGGCGAAAGCGCGCTCTCGCAGGCGCGGGCAGCGCCTGAGCGTGGAATGAAACGTGGACAAGGATTCTTGAAAGGGCTACACGTTCAGCCTTCGAGATCTACACTCCTTGTTGGAACAGAGAAATCGGACCATCTAAACGTGGATTGAAATCTGGGAAATACACTGGATTGGGAGGTGTCACCTCCTCCTTTTTTCTCTCGGCACTCTTTTAAAAGGAGACACGCAGCTCGGGCATCCAAACAATTAACCAAAAGAAAGCATCCGTCCTGCGTCCACCCACGGTGGAACCCGACTGGACGTCCTTCGCTTGACCGTGTTCTTCTCTTTGAAGGATTTGGCGGGTTCCAAGTGGGAGGGTTACCTTTTGGGACCCATGGCTAAACATGGCCCAAGGCCAGAATCCGCCCCAACCATATGACTTAGGCACAGATTAGACGCCTACATTGAACCCACCTGAATCACAACTGTCCGTGCCATTCGTTCAAACCAACGAGACCCTTCAACAATCAACAAAGTACCGATGCTCACTGGTTGCTGACAAACTAGGTTGTGGTGCTTCAGCATCTACATGGCGGTAAGCATAGAATCAAGCCATCTTGTCAATCCCCGCCCCCCCGCGCCAGAAGAAGCAACAATGACAATCATGTTGGGTGATCCCTAAAAGCACGTCATCAATATGGCAATTATGGAAAGCCTCCCAGCGCGCATGTCGCCGGACCCCTGCGCCGTTCGCCTCGCAGTGTGATCGCATTGGCGCGGAGGGCAACCAAAGCCATGGCGGCGAGCATGGAGGACGCCAGCAGCCAAAGACCACTGAGCTCGAAGGCGGCAACAGCGCAGCTGAAACCTAGGGAAACAAAACAAATGTCTGAAACAACCAGTTAACTTAGTCTTGTTTTAAACCCATTTGTCTGACTATGAATTTCAACTGGGCGTGGAACCTTTGGTGAACACTTGGACAGCGGGGACTGCATTGCGCAGTGCGTTCTGCGAGGGGGGGGGGGGGGCAAGGGGAGCTGCTGCAATGGGTAAAGGAGGCGAAAGGAAACAGAAGGAAGCTAAGGGAAGCCAAAGGAAGGAGCAAAGGAAGCAAAAGGAAGCAAAAGGAAGCAAAAGGAAGCTAAAGGAAGCTAAAGGAAGCTAAAGGAAGCTAAAGGAAGTCCAGGGAAGCTCAAGCAAGGTAAAAAGAACTAAGGGAAGCGAAAGGATCGTAAAGGAAGCTAGAGGAAAATAAAGGATGCTAGGTGGCTTGCAGTAACACCCTCTTACCCCCGGCATAACGAGTTTGCAACGAAGGTTGGCTTTCTGTGGACGCAAATCAAAACACAGAAAAGCGGCACCCCAAAGAACTGAACCCATACCTGCTTCGCGTGGTTCACCAAGCCTGCCACTGCCAAGGTGCTGATCACATCTGGTGTGATGCCCTGGGCTGGAGTTAGAGACCAGATGGTTTCGCAAAGGACTGCCTGAAATTGGCGCCTTTTGGCTGGACCCAGTTGTCACACATAACTCCAACATCGAAACATTAACAACAACAAGATGCGCGGGAAAGGTTTGCTTCTGGTAGGGCAAGTGAGCCCAGCCTTTTCAAGAGGACGCCAGTCTTCCAAACAACTTCTGATCGTACACCTGCAAGATTTCGGGAAAATAAGGGGCTCGTTGGATTCTTCGGCCAGCCTCTTGCACCATGCGCCGCAAATAGCCCGCCGCCAACGGCCAGGCGTTGCTTGCGCCGCCTGCGCTGGGGCTGGCGTCGCCTTGCAGGGCCACGGGACGAAGCAGGGGAACCACGGCATCCATTGACTGGGCCACAACACAAAAGAATAATGTAAGATAATGTAAGTTGCACTTCATCCTTGCCTCCGGTTTAGTGTTCAAACAAAAAAGTGGGCCCAGGCAACAACTGACAACAACCAGGCCAACATCAAACCACCAATTGCAAAGCTTGCTCGGCAGTTAAACAGCCGTGTGGCATTGAATTGCCTCAACCATGACGAGTACCTTAGCAAATGCCTGGTTGCTACAAGCAAGACGCAATACAATTGCGTGGGTGGTTAAACTTCTGCAGCCTGACCTGGAAGTTGTGCATGTGGATCTAGGATGGGTTTCCGCTCAGGGTAAAGAACCGATTCAGCAACTGGATGCGACTCAGCAACTGCGATTCAGCGCCTGCTCGTCTGCGATTCAGCAACTGCCAGTTCAGCAACCACGCCGGCCACAGTGCTCCAGCTACCAGTTTCGCGGGTTTCAGCAACTACTGCACAGACGCCATGTTTGCTGAAATGCGGCTCAGCCACTGCGCTTGCCGACAACTGCGCTTTAGCAACGCCCGCCGATTCAGCAACTATATCAATTTTCGCGCAACGCAGCACCTACAAAGCAAACGCTTCAGCGATGCGGAAACTCAGATTCAGTAACTTCCGGACTGACGCAACGACGCATCACTTGCGACTCGGCAACTCTTTTAGTGCGACTAAGCAACTATTTTCGAGCAACCGCGATTCTGCAGGATTTTTCGCGCGATTCAGCAACTGTGTTTCAGCAACTATAGTTTCCCATGCTTGGCGCACACCCACCCAAGCGCACCCACTCAAAGGCAGCAAGAGAACCTACCCGTTATGCTTGCCTGCCTAACGATACGCACACTCGCCCAAGTATGATAAGCACACCCGCTCGATGATAGGTGCTTGCTCAAGAGTGCCCAGTGTCCACGCCTGCCAATTGATAAGCACTCCCCCTCGCCAGCACTGTGTCGCGCCTGCCAAACGATGAGCGCACTCGCTCAAGAGCGCCCCGCTCAAGAGCACCCGCCCGAATCCAGCCGATTGAGTTGCTACGTTTCCAGTTGCCAAGCCTAGCTTCGCCAGTGGGACTCAACAACTGTGACTCAGCAACTAAATTTCGCACGATTGTTTCCAACTCGCAATTCAGCAACTATTTTCGCGCGAATCAGGAACTGCGCTTCAGCACTAATGGTTCTCCATGTCTGGCGAACGATAGTCAGCAGTTGCCAAACCCTAGTCGCCGAATTCGCTTTTTCAGTTGCCAAATCCCAGTTTCCGCATCCGACCCGCTTTCGTTGCGCAATCCCAGTCGCCGAATCCAGCTTTTCCAGTTGCCGAATCCAACATTCAAATTTTGCAGAAACTCTGGTTGACGAACCCGCGAATCTAGCTTCCGAACCCGGTGTTGGCCGCTTCCGGATGGGGTTGGGGTGGGCGCTTGCTTGCTTGCTTGCTTGCACGCTTGTTACACGAAGCATCCAGGAAATAGCAGCCTAAAAAAATATGGTGCCCTTTAAACCGACACCAAACCCCTGGGTTACAATTCTTCTCGGCGGTGGCTGGAGATGTGCGTGTCTTGTTCGGAAAGGCCGCCCTGACCTCCAGACCAAGTACAGAGATGAACAAGCCCAAACGTCCTGGGCCAGGCTTAGACGCCCTGCGAACAGTTAACCTTTTGCGTCCAGCTGGGCAGGAAGAGCAACGCAGCAACCAACTTGAAAAGGTCAGTCACCCCCGCCTTTACCTTTGGGGTTTGCGCCCGCCTTTCCCCCGGCGCGCCGCGGAGCGCCGGGATGCATCCGGCGCCAGGCCCGAGATCGCTGCGTTCAGCACCACGTCGTCGTTTTGCAGCGCCTCCTGCTATTGAACGCCGGCCAGAACGGCAAATCGCCAGCTTGCTAACAGGGAACCCGCTTTAAAACTTTTAAGTGAACGGTTGTGTGTGTGTATGTGTGTGTGTGTGATCGTGGGCTTCCTTTTGGGCGATTGGCCCTAAGCCGTCAAAACGGCGCGCCTGACGTCAATAGGTGCCAACCCTGCCGCAACATCTCAGCCATGAATCGACAACTACCTGGGCACGCTTCGCTGCAAAAAGGGTCGGCTCATTGTTGAACACGATGAAGGGTCTCGTTCCCCTCCTCTCTTCAATATCCATGGGGCTTCGGCCCGGCCAGATTGCGTCCACATAGCAAGTCCCTGTAATTGCACGTCCTCCGCAGGTTCGATGTCCTACAAGGAGCAACTCCTTGAAGGCCATCACCAAATGACCGGGCCGCCACCATCACCCCGCAAGTTCCAAGTCAAACCTTCCTCCAGCGCCTTCGCTACGGCAACCCCCGCAGCAATGGATGTCAGAGGCGGGCCTGGCCCCCAAACCACCAGCACCATCATGACCACCACCTCCTCATCCAAACGCATCACAAGATCCCGGGACATCCTCAGCGCCTGCCATCAAGATAGATCCAATTGGTGCCTGATCAGTGCAATCTGGAGCAGCTTGCTTGAATTGGACAGGCTAAACGACCGAAGTCTCTTGTAGCCACCCCGTCAATTGCATTGGAACAGGTGGCAGGCATCCCAATCACCCAGACTATGAACTTGCAGACTGTCTGCTTTGTTTCCGGCATGGACAAGAAACCCATTATCCAGCCGATGGTTTTCTTGATTTTCCTGCTGCAAGGGTGAGAGTTTGCATTGTACTTTTCCAGGTAAGTGCCGCCAAGGCATATTTAATTGTTTTTTTGCACCGGCCGGGACAGAGCTCGACCGCCTCACGATCTCACAGTGCAACTGCGCTAAACCGTCTGGACGTGCTCATTTGCAGGGGGCAGGCACCACAGCAGTAAAGGTTGGGTTCCTGTTAACTTCCCTTGAAAGCCACACTCAAAAAGAAGACAAACCCAAATGTAGCTTACTAAGTAGTTTTGGGCAAAGACGTGTTTCCCACAACCGTGCATCAAGGCTTATTTCCCACAACGTGCTATTTGCCGTGGACAAATTCGCCTCCCACCACTGTGTGGGCCAGTATTGACACCCAGATGTTGCCCATCCACAGAAAATTGGTCTGGAGAACTTGTTGAAGTTTGCCTGTTCCACTGTCGCAACATCAAAACGCATGTGACATAATTACAAGCTGGTCTCCTCTTGGTTTCCCAGTGAAGCCGCTTGGTCAATGTTCAATCCCAAGCAAGGGCCTCGGACCCAGGATTTAATGCTTGTTTACCAACATATTTTCAACGAGCAAAGCTATAGTTACTGGGTCCCATGAAGTGAGCACTTCGAGAGGTTGTCCCAATCGCCTATGGGGGGTCCCTCGGGACCACCGTTAGTAATTTCGAGAATTCCAGTTTGACTCAACGTTCCGACTCGTCCATCGCAATCGAGGTTCGTCATGAGCTTTCGATTGCTCCCGCTCCTCTGCCATGGTCTTGAGCAGCTGCAATGGCAGCTGCCAGCCCAGGTTCGCGCAGGCGCGCACCCCGGCGCTGCAGATCACCTCATTGGGCCTGGCGTATGCGTGAGTCCCAGTGAGGCTTCGCCGCCATCTCCCGTTTCAGGGTTGCTCCTCTTGGGATAACTCACCCAACAACCCTTATTCGCGGTCGGCAAATTCCACCAAGACTTGCCACTTTCCACTGGCCGCATGGTCGCTTTCCGCCGAAACTTGTGCCTGGCCTTACAGCGTGGACTGGCAACTGCCGCAGCAACTGAAGTGCCACGTCCCACTGGCCGCCCACCTCCTGAGCTGAACATCGAAAAATGCGTGCCGTTGTCAAGACTCTTCGCAGCGGCGCTCAAAGTTCCCTAATCAGGGGCCGCACATGTCATGACAGAAAAGGCAAGAGTTTGTTTCCATGACAGTGCACTTCCGCAAAAGCGGAGTCCCCCAAGCTGCGATAAAGCATGTTCACCTGCTGCGCTCTCCCATATCTTCCCATCGCTACTCGACACGAAACTTAACAGAAATCCTGAATCATGAACCAAATCCTGTTGAATGAGCAGTCCCGTCTCGGGAGGAGTTCACAGGGATCCGAAAAGGATACATTTCCACACCACCCGCTTGCCAAGTTCGTGCAGGCAAAAAAACAGGATGCTGGTCCAGGGGCCGTTCTTCTGCTCTTTTGTCCGAGGCGCCGCATCCTCGCAGGCACTGATGGTGGCACCAAAGCTCAGCACGTTCGGTTGTGGCCCGGCCTGCATTCCAAGCCCACGTGTCTGAGAAAGGTACTAGGCATCGTCCCGGAAAAGGCAAGAAAGAAACATGAAGAAGCACAGCAAGAAACCGCCAGGATCTACATGGGGCCTTGCACTTGGGCTGCCGTAAGCCAGACTCAGTGTTAGATGAGATTGCTTCGGCTACACGTGTTTTGCTTATTTCCAAAAGAAACAACAAATCAGGACCTTCATCTTTGAAAGAAATTGGAGTGTTTCAACTCAGAGGAGCCCTCAAACCGGTGGTGTCCCCATTCCCCCTTGGTTGCCCTTTGAAACCACAAAACCGGCGCCTCGAAAAAACACCCTTGGCAGGGTTGCCCAAATCAATCCGCCATCTCCAGATCATTCCCTGTGATTATTTTCTTGATTTCCCAAACGCAACGGAACCCCGATGAAGATCAAGATCCACAGATTCACATACCTGGTGGCTCCCTTTCTTTTCACAGCATCCCGCGGATTCGCCCCCCACCCGCGCCCCCCCCCCTCTGCCCCCCTCCCCGCCTGCACCATGGCCTTCAGCAGCGCCACAGCTTGTGGCCAGGCATTGGCGCTGAGACCCGAGGTAAAGGTCACCACGTTGCCCCGGACCTTGAATGAAGTCAAAACTCCAAATGGGCGCGTTGGGAAACCCCCCCGTTTGTTTTTCGCGTGCAATGGAGAGCCGCTTTTTGGTGGAGTTTGATGGAGAAGGTTGGTTTTCACGGGGGACCTATGTTTGTTGCTTAAGCGAAGCCGAAAGGATGTGTATGCCATTTCGGATCCCCCTGTTCAAACAAACCCCAATATGTATATATTTGTATATCCAGACAAATCTCCAGGAGCTTCGCACAATGCTTGCTTGCTGTTTGACTTTGTGCCTGACTGACTTTCTGCAGACTTCGCCAATCCCTCAACATGCCCGAATCCGCACAAGAGGTAGCAGGCGGTCTGGCCAGCTTTTCTAATTGGGGTATCGGGATTTGGACCCCATAAAAATGGGAGGGCTTTTTCCTTTGGCTTCTTGAAAAGGAATACCAACTCCACATACGCACCTATTTGGGTTTGCCTTCAAAGATTGGAACCCGCAAAACAGGGTGTCCCTTTAAAGCACACTTAAGCGGGTATCCTCAAAGAACACACACACACGAATTTTGACGTGAGTATAGGTCCAAGCCACATGCAGGCTACGCATGCGCTGTAGCAAGCCCAGGGCCAACCTCCAAAGGCCTGGCCTGGACAGGTTTAGCATTCGGGCGTGTCTTTGTGAGGGTGCCCTGCTTGGTGGGTCTTTCACAGGACACACCCATTTTCGCTACTACTTGAGTTATCTTCAAAGATCTTGCAGTGGATCCAAGCCGCATCCAATCCATATGGAAAATAATGAAACTCCAATGGAACAGAGGCAGTATACTGACCAATCTTGGGTAAAGGGTCCCTCAGGTGGCTTCCCAACCATCCAAACGCAGATTCCTCGTTTTGGAATAACACCTCAGAAGGTGTGTTGTCCCGACATACAGTCATGTGCTTTCGCAGGCCCAATCTAGATGTGTTGTTGCCAGGCAACTAATAAACACACAATCACAAAGCTCACACTAGGCTGTCCAACAGAGGGGGTTGGGGGAGGAGCTCCAATCCGCAATCTGGAGTGGGCCCACTCAATCAGAGGTGCACCTCCCCAAGCCACCACTCCAAACCACCAACTAGGGGTGCCGTGAATGAAAGGCTGAGCCGCAGCAAGTGATACCCAGCCTCTCACACGCATGGATTGCAGCACCGAAGTGGTAGTCGTTTCTCTCTAGCAGCATGGCTGTCATGACCTGACCACGTACGGCCAGCTATGGGCCGCACGACCGCACCAGGCCAGAAAGAAGGAAAGAAGAAAGAAGGAAAAAAGAAAAGAAAGAAACAACGAAAGCAAGTGGAAAGCACAAAGATGCAAATGTTCGAAACAAAATCAATAAAGAGAGGAAGCGAAAGCAAAAGAATCAGTGCAGGGGAAAGAAAGGGATAAACAAAGAGAACACGACATTCCAAAGTGAAACGGGGAAGGTCGAATGCAACCATGTCCAAGTGCATCTCAGAGGCTGACACGAGCGGGCGCGAAGATCAATCACATCTCGCGCCTGCAAAAGCTCCATGCAGACCTGCGCAGCAGCAGCCTTGCGGGAGCTTGGATAGGGGTGTAGAAAAAGAAGGTAAAAGAAGCAGTCCGATTTGGTTTTTTGTCAAGCTCAACCGCCAAGAGGAATCCTACACCTTTAAGTGGTTTAATTATGTTTCCGAGGTGGTGTAAATTCCCACCCCCGCAAAAGCAAGCACCCCCGATACATTGTCCACCTTCCATCCAACGAGGGAAACTGCATGGTACCCACCCCCCTCCATTGGTCCAAACAGACCCAGCCTCAGCCACAGTGTACATAGTTTGCGTGATGGTGTTAGGCCTCTGCCAGCCTGCTAAGAAGCTACGAGGGTCTTGCTGCAAGTTGGCGTCCTGCCGGGAGGGGGAAAAAATGGCTCCGCAGCCCAGCCAAAGGGCTATCACATGGTACCCCACCTGCCCTTCTGTGTCCACAATCTCACGTTGGCTTCGCTGTTGAGGCTACATGGCAATGGCTTCCTGTGTGCGTTTCAAAGGCCCAAAGGAGTGGGTGCCAATTGCGGACATTGGGCTGAACACAACTTTGGCGCGCAAGCAAGCAGGCAAGCAACAATTCAACCATCGTGAAATGAATTGACCTTTGACCCCTTGAGTGGCAAAAGGCAGCGGTTTGGAGATCAGGCGTTGCCTTGTTGGGCAGCCACTAGGGGTTCAAGTCTCAAAACGGTTCAGCAAGGTTTACACACTTGCAACCACCGGGAATCTTCAATTCCCATCACACCTGAAATGGTCTTGCAAAAGTACCCACTGTTGGTGGTTAATGAGCCAGGGGTTTGAGATGCTTGAAGGAAACCAAAGGAACCTCCTCCCATTCTAGCCCGGGGCCCGAATCTGCGGTCGGTCCTGTGGCATGCCCGCAACCAGCGCCAAGGCTCTCTGCCATGCGCTGCGCGACAGGTGCTTCATGGCACTGCCATAGGTCACCACATTGCTAGGCACCTCGGAAAAACCAAACCAAACCGAACCACCCACCTTAAAACAGGCATTCTTGTTAATAAGTCCCTCAGTTCCATATTCCCTGTGGTGAAAATGGCTCTTCGAAACCTTCCCAACTTTGTGGAGGGGGGTTCTTGGAAGGGTTCTATCCTTTCTGAAGGGGGTACGGGGTTCCAATGTCTCTCCAAAGGCCTGCGGCGGCGCGCCGGAAACGGATCAAGGGTCCCACGGTCGGATGGTTTTGCGGTTTTGCTAGGAGCGGCTTGCTAGGAGTGGACCCTTGAAGTCGGCTTAAAGCACTCCAGGTGTAGGACTTTGTAATTACAAGATGCACAAGCCCGAGCAATGGCTTTCAAAGCAATCTATCTACAATTGAATCACAGCCTTGTGCTTTCAGAACACTAATCAGGACACCAATGAGACAACTATGCGGCGCATTGCAAACGGCAGCCCTAAAGAATATCTGAGCGCTCTAAAAATAAAGGGCGTGGCCCCGTCATAAGAACACCGATCAGAAAACACCAATGAGGACAGCAATAGGCGGGATGGGGGGGGTGCTGCTGCCCCAAAATGCAAGGTATCCGACCTACAGTAAACAACCTTTCTGGCTGCTCGTTTGCCGCAACCCAGCCCAAGCAAGCAAGCAAGCAAGCAAGCAAGCAAGCAAGCAAGCAAGCAAGCAAGCAAGCAAGCAAGCAAGCAAGCAAGCAAGCAAGCAAGCGACCAACCAGTCCGCCTGCCAAGGGCCCTTGCCAGTACTAGTAGTCAGTCGCTCCAAGCAAATATGCAAAAAAAAATATACAACAAGTAAGGTAGCCCCCGGGCACCGCTTGGCTGCAGCACGGAACCAACCCTAAACCAACTGGGTTTGGCGAGGCGCCTCAGTAGCGGTGAAATTGACCTTAATACGAATAAACAACTTTGGCTTCCAAGCCCAACATTCAGGTGCTGTTTCCGGCGGCCGCCTGAGGCCCCGGCTTGCTGTTGGCTCATCTGGTCTAGGAGCTGCGTGGTAACGTTCCAGCTGCCCCTGCCCAAAGAAACGCCAAGTGGAGCATTCGACCAAGAACCCGTAACTTCCCACGACCCGGCATCCCCCCCCAGCCACCCAGCCACCCAGCCACCCAGCCACCCAGCCACATCTTGGAGTCCAGGTGGCTTGAGCTCCAGCGCATGCAAAAGCACCCCATAGTGGATCACGTTCACTTGCAGCCGCTTCTTGGGCAGGGCCTCTGGGCTTTTTCAGCTCACGGAGTTGCAAAGTCATTGCCATGATCCAGGGGCCCGAGCCAACCTTTGACGGGAATGCCTATGGGCTCTTTCTCTGCAAGCTTGACCGTCCGAATCCATCAGGCATCCATCATCGCTTGAGAGTACCTTGCGCAAACCTGCAAAGACATTCGACCACTGGACAAGTTTAACATTCTGATCCATGGTGGCTAATGGGAAAGCACACATCTTGCCAAAAAGATAAAGGCTCATTACAAATCCAATTAGGGCCTCCTGCTTTGGCCCCTTTTGCCCCACGTCCCAGTTGCTTGTAGAAGCCTCACGCCAGCTTCCAGGTTGGCCTGCGCATGGCAGATCATGCGCATCCGCGACGTTTGGCCCCATCAAGCTTGCTCCAATGTTCGCCAAAAGAACCAAACACGCCAGTGTGGTCCTGTTGAAACACCCTCGGGCATGAATGCTACAGGCTTCATATCGTGCGCTCCCACATGGTGGGCAAATACAAGAGGGATTGTTACCCTCCATCTCACTAGTGCCATCTGGTCCACAGGAACAAGAAGAAACCATGGTGTGGTTGGTCTCGAACCACCGGGGGCCTTGGCCACGCCCCCGAGCTCCCGAACAGCAGCTCTGCCCAAGCCATTGTTCTCCTGCGGGACTCAGTGAGCAGACGGATGTTGCTGGGAAACCTGGGGCCTCTGGCGCAGAAGACTCATCCCGACGTCTGAAAGCAATGTACTGCTTTTATGTGGTTGGGGATAGTGCACATTAGTGCACCCCCAACCCGTAGCCCACCCCACCATTCCATGCCAGTAGAAAGCAGCAAGAAACTACCCCAGCCGCTGGCATCACAGCTTGAAAGCCACAGGCACACGCGCACACAAACGTACAGACACACACACACACACACACACACACGAGCTGAGGCAGCCAAAGGAAACTGCCACGCATGTGCTGCACGGGCATCAAAGCCATAAAACCAGCCAATGTGTCTCTTTTTTTGATGCCAAAGCCTTCAGAAAGCTGCACTGCAAGCCATCACAAAGAGTTACACGACTCGGGCTCACAGGTTCTGGACATTAACTCCTTCTGCGATAGTGACGTGGGCTGTCTCCATGACTACGTTCTCACCTTCAAGGGGCTCACTTCTCACAACTGTCCTCCTTTAAAGTAATTAAAGTAGGCGTGGTACGCGCAGTCAGTAAGTGGTCTGACAATGCCAGGAGAGCAAAAAGGGAGAAGACTGTGACACAAAATTATGACTTCTGGCAAACCTGAACATCCAGACATGCAGGCAAGGTGAGCACAAGCGATTGACAACTCCGGCCCCGGCATCAAAGCGAAGCTGACCCAGCTGGCTCGGGACCAAACAGAACAGAAAAAAATAAGCACTGGTGATATCCCCAGCAGTATGCGGTGCTCTTTTTTAGTGCTCGCACCACCCCGCAGCCCTCACAGAACTTCGTGGAACTCTCGTGGAACCCTGGTGGAACCCTGGTGGAACCCTCATGGAACTTTACCTCAGGACCGCCCCGGACCACCCCGGAGCCTATGTGGGCTGAGACCCCAAAGCTTTCAGCTGGGAAAAACATAAATGTGGCATGGTGGCCTTGGAAAACTTAAGCAGCACCCGGTCCTCAGTGAGGCTTGCCATACCATGGCGCAGGTTGGAAAGCAGCCAGCGTTCCGAATTACTCTAGGGTGTAGGTCAGTGGGCTACAGGGAGCCCCTCCTAGTAACCCTCAGTTGCCACAAACTGACATGTGGTTTACTTTTCGGGTGGGCAGCACTTGGGTGGCGTTCGATGTATTGTTTGAAGCTTGCCCCAGTGGGTTGGGGCAAGTGAAATTATCTTCGGGCAAGTCGACAGCAGCATGCTTTGATGACTTGATGCGCCAAAAAGGTTGAGGCATCTGCAAGATCCCTGCCGGACCTCAGGAAATTGGGACCTTACCTCAAAAGTCAAAAGCCTCCGGACCTCAACACATACGTTGTGCTTCCCTAGTCGGTCACGGGTTCCCCCAGTGGGGACAAACCTCAGATAACCTCAGCAACCTGCAAAGATACCCTTCAAAGATACCCATCTGCCCCTTTCCCACTTGTCGGCCCTTGGGCCCAGGACATAGGAGCTCATCAGGCTGAATTCCTGCACGTCCACCGTGACCTCAGATCGCTTGACCGTGCGGCTCCCGGGCACTTGTTTACATTGGAGGTGCCAATGGATATTCCAAAACTTTCGAGGATTTCGGGATTGATGACGCGCAGGGGAAGCAAGCTGCTACGAGCACCACTATTGGATTTACCACCACAACATTCTCCCGAAGATATCAAGCTCACACACTTCACATCATGACAAATGTGGCGCCTGCCCCCCTTTGCTGAGCCAGGGGCGTCGTCAAAGTTTACCTTGATGATGGCCTCCAGGACAACAAATTTGCGGCCAAAGGTTTCAACACGTCCACTGCCCCCAATGCGGTTTCAGGACAGTGGCAGAAAGAAAACGCGCCAAAACGACGGGAAAAGCGGCCTCGCTCAAGCATCCTTTGCTCGTCAATGTGGTTGGCACCTGGCTGCGCCCAGAACACGATGGAACACACCCGCACGCTAACCACCAGTCTGGGCCTTCCGGATTCTCCCGCGAGGTTTTAACAATGGGAAACTCCTTGAGAAATGACCAACTTTCTAAATCAACCAATGTGATCTGCAGCCCTTTCAAAGCCCGGCACAAGTGGAATCACTGATGACGCAGTACCAAACTCGAGGCAAAAGGGAAAAGCACGAGCCAGCAGTGTCACCAGTGACAAACCTTCCATTGGCGCCGCTTTCCTTCCATCGGTCATTGGCAAAATGAAATGCTACCCAGTCACCAGGCTGTCCAGAGTTGCAAGACGCATTTTCTGGGACTTCTGGCTTCCAGCTTGAGCCACCGCCTCGAAGTCCGCGTAGCGCAAGCCCGCCATGGCGAGTGGCGCGAACGGATCCGTCTTGCGAGCGCAGGAAGACAAAGCTGGGTGGGCGTGACCCCATGGGCCGACGTGCCATGTTTCAGGTTGGTTTAGTTGGTGAGTTGTGGCAGTGGGAGTGGCAGGGGGGAGAGAGAGGGGGACGGGGGGTCAGGGACCTCTGCATTGACTGTGGAATGTACACACGTTAACCAGGTCTTCAAGTGACATTAACTCTAATACAAATCATAAAGAAATCATGGCGGAAGGGGCTGAAGACAGTCCATCGGCGACTTGACAAGGGCACCCATCGCAAGGCCTCTGAATATGACGTGGGGCAGGGGATTCCAAGCCACACAAGCTTGGCCCCATATCCACAAAGTTCAGTCATGTTCAGTCAGTTGGAAAGCCAGTGGCAAACAGCTAAATGGTTTGGGCCTGTTTCAGCCCTGACTAAGCTTCTGAGCCCCACAGCGGTGGTGTGGGTCCAAGCAACCCATAAGTCCCTCTGTCACTCTTCTGCTCCAGCATTCTAGCATCTTGAGGCTATTCAGCCATGTCTCCAGGTTTCACTTGTGTCCATCTGATTGAGCCTTTGAGTGCAAGAAGGATGCAACAGGTTGGATCACCCGGAGCATCCAAACTGTGCCATCCACCCAAGGAAACAGCACTGCGGCAATGCGTACAGCACTGAGCTCCGTGAAGCTTGCACACGTCGGCTGTCGAGCTCGGCCTGAACGTTTGGTGCCGCGTGCGGTCTCCCGCCTGTTCCTTCCATACGGCACACGGAGCTAACACAGGGGAGTCGAGCCCAAGCAACAACAAAGCCCCTTTGACCTCTTTCCAGCCAGAAGGCTGCCCCATGGGAAAAACTGGAGACCTGCCAGCTGCCAACCACCAATGCGAGCTGCATTTCCGCCCTCGCTTTGGAGGGCATTGCCAATCTCTGCACTGTGGTCAGCGACCAGCCTCCAATATCTCAAGCATCAGTCGAAGTATGAATGGCCATGTTTTAGGCTTTGGTGCAGCTGCGGGCGTTTCAGGCAGACCCGCGCACGCAGCTCCAAGTTCAACTCTCGCGAGGTTGCGGTCGCAAATCGCTGGGGGATCGGTGCAAGTAGCCTAACAGAACCTGCCGCAGGTCATCCAAAGATGCAAAGCCGAACAAAGTTTGGTAACTCAAGAACTCGGATTTGGGTCAAGGTGTGCGATTTGGGTCAGACCAAAAATTGGGTTTCCGGCACGTTCTTTGGCTTCGTTGGGGTAGGCCATCCGGCCGCGAGCTCAGAGGAAGGCAGCACCAGAGGGCTTGGGAGCCTGGACCAGGTAACGGGAGCACAGTTGGCAACAACCAGGGCAAACGTGAAGTTGAAAGAGAAACAGTTGGTTGGTTTCCTCTCATCCCTTGAACACCGTTTTACTATACTCCTTCCCGTTTTGCGTTTTAGTATCCTGGTAGCCTTTTCGATTTTGGTGGGTCGTCGGAGAATCCGCGTTTCTCGCACAGGTAGTGAGGCAAACGCACGACCGCACTTGCGCCTGCTGGTTCGGCATCCCCGAGAAACCAGACTCCACGGACTTGTTCGGGTTGGCAAAGCAGAAACCGCGCGAGAATAAAACAACAATGGCAAATGCACGGGAGAGAAGAGCGGAGAGAAGAAAAGCGGAGAGTGGAGAGTGGAGAGTGGAGCGGAGCAAAAACTGCAGAGAGCAGAGCAGAGCGAAGCGAAAGAAGCGTCAAGAATTCAGGGGCGGAGGCAAGCTTTCCAGGGAGAGGAGAGGGCGGCGGGTGACACTGGAAATATCGGGTTTTGAAGGCCGCACAAAAAGAAGGAATGTGCACCACCAGGTCTATTCAGTCCAGTCTGATGGATTTTTTTCGGGGGGCCTAATCACAATCCGTAATCCGCTTAATCCGCGTTTTGGCTGGCAACCCTAATCCGTAACCCGCGCAGTTTATCGCAATTCCAAGCCAGCCCCAAGCAGGGGAGTCGAAAATCCATGCAACACTGCCCTCCTTTGCTCAAAAGCAACACTCCGAGTCATGTTGCAACCCATGAACCGAAGGGCATTTCAACAGACCAGCCCAGAGCAGCTTTCCCCGGCGGTGGACGTGGATGGTTGGTACTGGTTTGGAGCTCTCTGGTTCCAAGCACGCAGGAAAAGAGAAACAGGGGGAGGGGCGCAATTCGGAGGTGCCCATGTCATCTTCCGAAGGCCGACTTCTTAGACAGCAGCTAGCGTGAAGAAATAGAGTTTACACCATTGCGGGAATCACCGGCCCCATTACTCACCAAAAACAAGAGAGACTCCCGCTAACTATGAAACGAAAGCCCAAAAACGGATCAGGCCGTCCGTTGCCTCAGGTTGGACCTCGCAGCGCTGCTCACCGATCCGGATCTTGGCTAGGATGTTGGCCTGGGCTAAGCGGGCTCTGGGGGGCACCAATTCCGCACCAACAAAAAAAGACTTCACACCCCTCTCCCTCTCACTATCCCCCTCCCTCACTCCCCCTCCCTCTCTCTGTTTGTCTGTCTGTCGCTCTCTCTCTCTCTCTCTCTGTCTCTCCATCTCTCTCTCTCTCTCTCTCCATCTCTCTCTCTCTCTCTCTCTCTCCGCCTCCCTCTCCACCCGCCCGCTCACCCTCCCTATTTGCCTCCCCCCGTATCTGTCGCTCTTTGTATCCAACATGTCCCACCTGACACAACGTAACCACTTGCCACGTTGGCAAGACCCGGCCACCAACGCGGAACTGCTTGTGGAAAAGAGAGGTCAAACCTGAGAACACCTTCAAGGCAGCCAACTCTGGGAGCAGTTTGGCTGGAGGCTCTGTACCAGCCAGGTATTTCAAGGCACCCTTCAAGTGCCCGACGATGTGGCGCGGGTAATCATGATGCCCTTGAATGCCCAAACCGTCGAGGTTGACATTCCTCGGGCGTGCAAGGGAACTCCAGCCCGACAGCGCTGCAACTTGACAAGTGTTGGATGCTGTGCATCGGAAAATGTGGCATTGCTGACTTGTTCCTGCAGGATGTGGCAGCCAAATGGCAGGTCCATTTCGGGCCACTTCCAGAGAGCTCTCTTGTGGATCTGTCTGCTTACTTTGGCTGCTTGCGACGCTGAGGCTCACATATGCTCACATCATACACAGCGCGCTTACTGCAGACGCACCAAACGCGATTTGTTGCTCGCAAACAGAAGGAAACTGCAAATGGAATTCCAGGAGGTGGGCAAAGCTGGACTCTTCTGGGAATCACCAGTTCCGCCCCATACTAGCTGAGCTGCTCCACACCAGGCACCTGCAATCATCTGCAATCAGCAACCAGGACCAAGGGTTGAAGCGGCTTTTGAACTTGAGATCCAGAAACTCAGCCACCAAACACATATCTAGCAACATGTTTGAGTTTCTTGGCTTTGGACATGAGCGCGTCTCCAATCCAGGGCACCAATGCCTTGGTGATTTCTCCAAAGGACACCCGAAGGGAAAGCAAGATGTTGGCGTGCAGCCGGAAAGGGCTACCCCAAGCAGGGAATTTGGGCACAAATCAAGTCCAAAAGCGTCTTTAGAAAGCCTCCGATTTTGAGAAACATCCATGTGGGTATGCGTCCCAGCCCGTGAACATTGAGGCGCGCCGCGTCGCGAATCTTTGCCCCAGCCTCCGAACTAAGGTATTTGGAAAAAGAACAAACAAACACCCATCTGAGGTATGGTAAAGCCCGCTAAGATGGAATGAAGATACCAAACAACAACAACAACAACAACAACAACAACAACAACAACAACAAGGGAAGGCGGGAAGGTTTAATTTTGCACATGTTGGAAGTTTCTTGTGATGTTAGATCATTAACAAAAGATCCTGCCTCTTGGTCTGCTTGAAGCAACTGACAGCCTGTGGAAACCGTCTTGCCAAACCAGGGTTAACGTCCAACCCGCGCCTTGACTGCGGAGAGGCCGGCAACTGAGACACCCCACCTCGGGACAAATGGACTCAGCATGCCCTCTGGAAGCTGCGTGGCTTCATAGTATACACCCTGCACCAATAAACGGGCACCAGCTCAGCTCGCAGTATGACCTTTCGCGCCATGTGCAAGCTGGGGCTGCTGCTCCAAGTAGCGGTAGAGGAACGCAAGCACCTGGTCAGTGGCATTGCTCCCTTAGGTCCCTTCAAGGTCCTGGATTTAAGCCCTAACCTGCTAGGAACTTTCAGGCCGGCCTCCCCACTACGGAATCCCTCCGACTTCAGCCTTGCAAATTGGCCCTGAGGAGGCGCTTTAAAATGGCTTCAGGAGGTGTTGAAAGGGATACCTCTGCAGGGCCCTCGAAGTTTCAACTCAGGTCTGCGCCCAGTCGTTGCCCATGTATCCATTGACAACTCGTCCAGAAGCAACTGTGCGGACCTGCAAGGGACACACATTGTTCCCCTCTTCATGGATCCTGGGCACGCTCTCATTAGCACGAGCTGTCGCTGCACATGGCACCACGCTTTTTGCCGGTCTCCCGTAACAACTGCAGCGCGTGGCGCTGCACAAGCAAGAGCTCCCACGAACTTTCAGGCCCGCAGGTGGCATGAAGCCCGCGTCATCTCTGCATGAGGCACGCATGAGGCACGCTGGCTCTCTGGTCTCACTGCAACCGATTTGAGATGAATCGGGATGGGACTGGGCAAACAGCTCTATCCCGTCCTCACTTGCGCCAAAAACCTGACAATGAGATATCCGACTCTTTCAATGGGGTTGGCATCAATATCTCGCAAGGCCAGAGCGGGCTTTAAAAAACAGCGAAAGCGCCCGAGTCGTTCTGGGGCTCAGCACCGCAGCACCTTCTCGAGCTCCGAGCCCAGCGAAGCCAGCAGCCGCGCCTGCGGGCGCCCGGCCGCGTCACACGCGGTGATGCAGCTGCACAGCCCGGCGATCCCCGCGGAGTCCAGCGCCTCGGTTCACCCGGCGTTTCAACCGGGACCTTCGAAAGCCTGGCCTGCCTTCGGAAGGGACGAGCTATGGTAGTCAAGCGGGTGGCGCGGCAGGTTTCAGGAATCAGCTTCGTTACACTCATTTGTGTGGTGAAAATTAGCCGGTGACACCGGCCTGGCCACCAAGAACTGCCTAACAGCAACGCGCCGCAGCACGAATGAACAGTTTGAGCCAATCTGGAACAGACCCTGCCTGTGACCCTCCAGCAATTGCTGTGGGCCGTAGAAATAGTTGAAATGCTTCAAAGAGCATTCTTCCGCAAGTTGCCGACGAGTCTCCAGCAAACATGACTGCCAGCGGCTGGCGCGCTGGCAAGCCTCCAAGCAGCCTCCCCAATAAATCTCGCTCGCCTCGGCGGGATGTGCCGGCGTTGAACGATTTCTCCACTCAAGGGGAACCACCCCTGATTAACCTGGTCTGGATTTATTCAAAGTTGAGAATACCCCAAGCCAGAGCGGACTGTGACGACTATATCCAGCCAGCAACCAAAGAAATTTGCACTGCCCGCGGAATCCAGCGGGTTGCGAATGGAATTCCAGCATTCAAAGTGTACAATCTTCAGATGGTTTGCGAAAAGCTGCTTTCAGAACCCTCATCGTCTTAGCAGGCTTTTTGGCAAGCACGTTACAACTTCCATGCAGCTGTACAATAACTCCTCATAATCTGCGTGATGTGCATCTTTCCAAAGAGACCGGATCTTCGCGAAATTAAGGATTCGTCCTTCAGGCTGCCATGGGCGCAACAACTCAAACAGTTAGCCAACCAAAGGGCTGAGTAGTGGCTGTCGGGGATGTGACCCTCCCAAACCTTAGTCCTCAATGCAAATGCATACGCCCCTTGGGCGTTGGTCAAAGGCCCAAGAAGGACCTGCAGCAGGGCAGCTTTTGGTCGGTCTTCATGACCCCCACCCCGAAACGTGGTCTGCGAAAGGTGTGGACCATTTGCTTGCGAAGTATCTCCCTGCGCAACGCCTTCTTGGGGGCGTTGCGTGGAGCTGAAATTGAAGGTGGCGCAATTTGCACACACGCAAGTTCAGCAATTTTAAAAAAAGGGAACCCAGCCCCTCCTTCTCCCAGGTCGCCTGCAAGCTCCGGCGCTGCGAGCTGAGCAGGAGCTCCAAGGGCTTCAGCCACTGGGACGCCGCTGCGCAGGCGCTGGTGGCCGAGTTCAGGCCTCAGCGAAATGACTCGAGCCGCGTGCCACGTGTTCCCGTTGAACCTCTCACTGGTGCTGATTGGGGGGGGATGGGGGATGTAAGCTCAAATGGGTTGGCAAGCCGCCCACAATACGCAGAGAGGGGCATGTTCTCCAGACATAGTTTTCTTCTTCTTCTTTTAGATGATAGATCCAGTGAAGCATCTTGTTGCCCAGTGGCTTCTGTGGAAATCGAATTGCATCGTTGCAGTCTTTCGGTTGGTTTCGGTGAGTCTAGGCAGATTTCAGGGAGATTTCTGGGGGGTGCCACAGCTGATTTCGCGTGGATTCAGGTTTGATTCTAGGAGTGGGTGAACATTGTTCATGATGTTCATGGGCCCTCCGTGCAATGCTGCAAATCCCAAATCATTGGCAACGCAATCCCAAACCCTAAAATCCACAGCAAAGCTTCATGAAATCACCCCCAGCTAAACCAGAAATTCCGAAAGCAACGCTAAAATAAAACGCTGGCAAATCTTGAGCCTGACCAACACGCCCGGAACCAACCAGCCAGCAAACCCTGTTGCAAGCGCCCAAGCGGGCAAGTGCTTTACGGGGCTCCTGCCAGTTAAATACGCAGGGCCTGCAATAGCAAACAATATTATTCCTTGTCCATTCGAGGCTCGATTCCTCCAAAAGGCCTTTCATGGCAAGCCCTGCTCTGCAGCTCGCACGAACGAGGCAGACGCTGACAACTTGCAAGCGAGCGGCTGATCTGGTTCACCTGCATCTCCAGCACGCCCAAGAGGCCCAACGCCCATGTCCAGCGTCCATGAAAGGCACAGCCATGGAGGAGGCTATTGAAACTGATGACGTCCGGAGTGAGCCTCCTGGCAGCTCCCAACCCCCGTCCCAGGCTGGACCTCGTTGAAGCCACCCGTTGCTGTCGTGTTCCGGAGCATGACTTTGGTGGAGGTAGCTGAGGCTTTGAGAACTGTGATGCTTCTACAGCTGGCACAATGGGGGAGCTTCGCCGCACGAAATATCAATTTGAAGCCGCAGCCTGCAAGCAAAAAGCGTGCGGCTTCTCATACGCACATGTTTCCAAGCGGGCAATTGCTGCAGAAGCTGGAAAAGCTTTGCGGATGAAAAAGCCACACATTCTTTCTGGCAGGCTGCGGCTGGCTACGAATCGATGTTTTGTGTAGGCAACACGCTCTTTCCCCCAAAGCTGAGTGAACCTCCAGCGCAAATTGGGCTTCTCTCAAGCTGCGGTGGAACTGCCATGATGCAGAGAACCATGTGTGTTTTGAACAATTTTCGCTTGAACCATTCATTGTCAACGCGCTCGATGGCACGGAGCCTTGGGGGAGTCGCCACCTAGTTTTTCCATCCCAAGTCTGAAAACGCAGAACACTTGCAAACTACAACCCCTGGAAGAATTTCAACGGGAACTGCTGGAGAAACGCAGTAAAGGTGGAGGTTCAATCCCATTTAGAGACAACGGGGTTCTCCAAAAGATAATTGCATCCAACATGCAACTGATTCGTAGTAAATCGTTAAATGCGTTTCCCAAAGGTGGCAAAACTGCATCCCTCTCGCCCAAAACGAAAGACAAGTTCCGCTTCCCAACTTCCCGGTCCTCTGGGCCATGGCCTGTACCAGGCTGAGGCCGAGGCCCAAGTTGGCCCCTTTCTCGCAGGCCGCGAGCCCGCAATTGAAGGCCACCACCGAGTCGGCGTCAGCCAGAAGAGCTAAACCCACCTGACGGCCAAGCTTTTCGTTCGACCTCGTTTCCCTGTCATGCTTTCCTCAGGCTTCCTTTGGGCTTCCTTGTCAGCCTCCCTTTGAGCAGGATTCCTTGTGTGTCGGTTTAGTTTCTGTATAAGGGTTTGGGTCTGCCATCTAGTATTGGAGGGGCTTCCTCCTAAGAGTCACTGCAGAGGTCATAGGCACGTAGGACAAAACCTGCTCAAATTCTCGTTAGGTAGCCAATGTTGGCAACTTGGTGCAACGAAAGGAACGTATGCACGTGAGTTCTTGAACACGAACAGTTGGTCTGCCCGTCTGCCCCCAGTGTGTCAGAAGCTTTGGGAAACCAAAAGAAAATGCGCACTTTGATTGGAGTTCCGCTAATTTGACTCAAGTTTCTGGGGTCTCGGCCATTTTTGGCAAGACTCCAGCTATGATTCGAAATGTGCAGGATCCCTCGAACTATTGTGGGCAAGGGGCAGAACAGTTTTGACCATGTTAATAAATATAGGAAGGAGACCAAAGGCCCCCTGAGAACCTTCTTAGAAAGTGCTCCTAGAAGGGTTCTGAGCACCTTTGTGGGAGGTAGGGCCCTAAATTTTACATGTTTCTCCTGAAGCAGAAGGGTGCACGAAGGCAACGGCTTTCGAAGCTTGCCTGCCACTGGCTACACTTTTCACAGGCGCTCATGCACGCACTCAAGCTCACCGGGTTCGGCAGGCAGCCCAGGAGATGCAATGCCATCCTCACGTGCGACAAGCTGCGTTAGGCCCGAATAAGGTGAAGCCCCGTGTCGCCATGCCCAAACTGACAAAGCGCTGTTACACCTAAACAAATAAACAGGCAACAGGAGAGCTTAGCATCTGCCAGTGGCCGCCCCTCTCGCATGAAGTGATGCAGCTGCTGTAGCTCGCGGCAGTCGGCTCAAGCTTTGCTTGCTTCATCTCTTCGAGCAGCTCCAGCGCAAGTGCCAAATGTCCGCGGCAGCAGCTGATCGCCGAGTTGTAGCTGATCGCATTAGGCAAGACCCGAGCCCCTCTCATGTCTGCAAGCAGGGCCACGGCGATTTGCCACCCTGCTTTCTCGCAAGCAGCGATGCAGCTGCTGAAGTTCACGACATTGGGTTGCACTGATCTCAAGGTCATACTGGCCAACAAGGACAGGGCAATGGGCCACTCCCACTCCAGGGAGCTGAAGCTGAGGACGTTTGGCTGGGTGCTCCATGCTGGCATTGTGTCCAAGACGTGTAGTGCCAAAGGCCACCTAAAAACCTTCATCACCCCAAAGCTCACCACGTTCCGCTGATCGCCCGCCCAAAGCAGGTGCAGGGCTCTGGCCCAATTGGCTGCGCCCGCAGACTGAAGTCCTTACAAAAACGGGCTGAAGCCATTGGAACCGACTTCCCGTTGCGTGAGCGAGCACGGCCCGGGGAATGGAGCAGCAAGCGTCAACGGTCAACGCGTGGCCAACATCGTCCCTTTAGTGACATCTAGAGAACCACTCGTGCCATGGTCTGTAGGCGCATCAATTGAGAGTGTTCTCCAACCACGGGAAGGACCATGGCCCATCAATTTCAACCGGGATCTTCAAACGCTCCTTTTGTCCCTCTTTTTGGACAACACCTTTTGAGGTCAAGCTGGAATGAATTTCCAATTTGTGGTGTGAGGTTTGTCGGGGACATAGAAGGAGCATGAAGGAGCCCTGTTCAATTGACAGGGAGCACGCCATTCCGAGGCGCCGCAGGTGTAGTTCACCACATCCGGTCGGAGCTCCTGGGAGGGCATAGACCTCAACACCCGCAGGGATGCCCGCCAGTCCTTGCGGGATTCGGGACATGAGCCACAAGGCACCTCTTCGAGGCCAGCTTTCAGACTGAAATGAAGTTCCGTGAGCACTGCGAGCACCTGTCTTCAATGCCAGTACGGCAAAGGTAAGCCGAAAAGCCGTTGCCAATTGGGCGAAGGTTCTTCACCAAAAGTGCTGAGAAGGCGGCCCAAAGCCGCATTCTCGGCCAGCAAAAGCCCACGGCTCCAGTGGGCCTTGCCACAAGCCACGGCTGCGCTGTTGTGACTGATTGACTGAGGAACCTCAACTGGGCGGCTTCCGTGCAGTGCCAACCCTGGGAACATGAATCTGGCGGTCCCCCAAAATATAACATGACGGTTGCCCTATACACCCCCAATGAATCAACCCAAGGTCTATTCCCCCCTGGGTTATCGTTTGCATGTGCTCACGCAAACAAAAAATCGGAAAAGGTGGCATGTAACTACGTAACGTGGATCCTTTTGTGCTCATCTCACACACGTTTTAATACGGGCGTCTATCCCCGCTGAAGCCATGCCCTCGAGGAAGTGCACAGCTGCATGCCAGGCCGTGGCGGCGGCTGCTGCGTGGATGGCGGCGCCAAAGGCAAAACCATCGAGCTGACGCTCATTAAGAAGCTCCGCAACTTGTCGCCAAAGCTGCTGCCTACTGAGGGCCTTGATGCGGCCCCGCGCCTCAGCTTCCCGCGACAGTCCCGTTTTGGGGCCGCCCGTGGTGCCCATGGCCCCATTGGGTTGGGGCTGCCCGGCGCCCCGGCGCCATGCTGCAAGCTCGTGGCCTAACGGCACCGCACAGCGGTGGGCTCTCAGCGGGACATGGGGTCCGACTACCCCGAAGCCACGAGCGAGGCTCGACTCGCAAGTCTGTGCCCGGGCGGGAAAGAACGAGCCTGCGGATGCTTTCCTAGTGCAGACGATGCACGTCCTCTGCAAGCACCAAGGCAATGCAATGGCTTGTCGGGCAACGACAATGCAAAGCCCAACTTTCATGAGCCAAGCCCAGCAATCAGCACCCCTGCCTTCTGCCACTTGGTTGCCTCTGTGGTCACTGGCGTGCCTAGCAGCACGACGTCGTCCACTACGTGGAACTCTCCCATGTCGTAGAGCTCACACCTCGCGGTCAGTTGGGGCAAATTAGTCGTGCCAAAGCTCTGGGGTCCGGACAAGCAGTAGACAAGCAAGCGAGCACCTCGTGCTTGCACAACCACAACCCCCCCCCGAAAGAAATCCTTTCCAGTGAAAGTGAGGGAATCTCAGGGCACTGCAGCCGTCCAATCTTCCCATGGCAAGGGTCACAACCCTCAACGAACCCGAGTATGGCGCCCATGGAGTGGCCGATCAGCGTGACAGGCCGCTGCCCAACCGTCTGCCTGGCCCAAGTCGAGCCGCGAGCCTTCCGCTGCCCCATGACAAACAATGGACAGGGATGGGGGGATGCCTTTCAAAACGCATGTCTCCGGGAGGCCAACGGAAAAGGCGCTTGGAATAGTTCAGCAGACCCTTGCCAAAGTGCACTCGCAGAGAACCAACATCCAAATTCCGAAGTCTACCATCAACCCTAGACCTGCAAACTCAAGCAAGGCAGGGCCGAAAAGCCAACAGCTATGGCTGCGCAAGCTCGCGGGCGCCTGTCCGCCAGCACGTGGGCCAAGCATTTGCCACCCATGCGGGCGCGCTCTACACCCACCAGCCTGGGCTGACCCTGAAACAAAATGAGCAAAGGGATCTACAAGGAACAACTCAGCACCGCAAATGGTCTCATCTCAACCTTTGGTTGATTCATTGGGGATGTCCGATTGTGGGGAAACACCTCTATCAATGCGCAGGATTTATCCAGAAAAGGCCACAAAGGGAAGCTGGGGGATTGAAAACCTCAAGGGAAGTCAGCCTTGTTTTGGCCCCCCCTTATCACATGCCCAAATGACTCCTCCGGAGACTCTGGCCAGGCATTGTCCAAGTTCGCCATCGAGGACACAATCCACACTGGCCATGCCACTGTCATGGCCTCAGAAATTTGGTGCGCCAAGGTCAGAGTTACCAACCTTTCCCGCGACCCGGGAAATTGGACGCTTTTTCCCCAGTGTTTGTGGGAAATGTAGCGAGTCCCCCCCCCCCGTCTGTCCAAACTAATAAATCGCAGACTACCCACAGCCATTTCAGGGGTTCTTCATTGAATTTCATAGCCATGTGAACGTGAGCCATGGTCAACCTTGCTAGGTGGTCCCCTCGGTAGCCTATCCACTGGTGGCCTTGATTCTCCAAGTTCTAATGCACCGTCTCTCCAAATGGCTTGGGGACAGATTAGTCAATCCAAAACGCTAAGGGCAGCGGCTGAGCCCCACGAGTGGCATTGAGGCCCTGGCTGCCAAAGATCCCGCCACACCTATCGGATTTGCGCAACGCCAAGGTACAAACGACCTCATTCACCCCAATCCTAGGACCATCATTCAGCATGTAGCTTAACGGCAGTGGGAATAGCCTCCACACCTCAACTGTTTGTGGTATGAAAGGACCTTACTCCAACCATGCTCAAGAGCTTTCAAAAACCAACCGCTAAGCCGACTGTGGACAAAAAATGGCAGGATGGGTAACACTTCGAAGCTTGTTTTGCTTGTTTGCAAGTAGAACTGCTTGACGCGACAGAAGCTCGGGAACGCTCCGTGGCTTTAGGGGTGTTTTAATTCTAGACCCTTGTCCCCAAGCAACCCTGAGTAACTTCCCTTTTTCCACAGCGCCTGAGTTCCACCGCATAATTGCTGCACATAAAATGGGTCACATGTAAAAACCACACCCGATCGCGTGTAATTTGATGATGAGATAGGCGTCAGTTCTTGGGGTCGTCAAGGCAATATCTCTTCGGGCTACTTGCCAAAGCCTTGCCTGGTGAAACGCTCGCAGTTGCAACTTCCCTTGTGGGAGCCAGAGGCAAGGCGAGCCAATGAATTCCCGAAACGCGGCATCTCAGTTTCGTTCAACTCACCGATTTGCATGCTGCATCACTCGTGCCTTGCAAGGTGCAAGGAAAGGACCGGACCACCCTAAGACTGCTAGACCAGGGAGCAACCAAATCTTCAACAAGCCCGAGCCAATGGAACGGTTTCACCAAAAACGAATCCTGGAACTCTTCCTAAACAATTTTGCTGATCCGGCAATTCCCCCAGGGTGAGCGTTGCAGTGCGTTTCACGGGACGGAAAGGCTCGCAAGCCCGATTCAATGTCGAAAAGCCGTGCAAACTGGAGGCTGACCATTCTGGGACCATAGCCAGCATGGCCCCAATGGAGCTCACCCCGCCCCCCCTTGCACGCAAAAATGCATGCCCTCATCAAGCCTCATGGCAGAACTGGCACTGGGTCCGCAGAAGTCAACAGAACTCATGGTCAACCAAAACTCAGCAACACCAATCATCGCTCACAAGAAAGCAAGCATACCTCATTCTTCCCATGAAGGAAAGACTCTGGTTGCATAAATGTCAAGAACGAGTACATCCAGCTTGCATAGGAATCATAGAACACGGTGGGAATTTCTGTCAGAGGACAAGCGACGTGACCAAACTTACACGCCTCGCCCTGTCCCACCCTTTTTGCTGGTGGTCAAGCGGAGACCGTCGAAGACAGCAACACAGTGCTAAGTAAGTCTTGCATGACATGACTGCTGTCAAAAACAGCTTCTTTGGCCCCTTGCTTCAGGAGCCCAAAAATGTGTGCCTGTGAACCGCCACCCCCCATCTTTGACGCCAGATTGAAGTTTCCCACAATTTGAATTTCCTTCTGCCAAATGGCCCCGAAAATAGCCGAAAGGAGGTCACTGAACAAACCATTTGATAGGCCTTTAGGGGCAGCCAGCATGTGTAGCGCCCTTTCAATCATGATGGTTTCCTTTGGTTAGCGATGTGGGTAACGGTATGGAGCATCTTTCCCAGAAAGCCAGGGGGGGAACTGGATGTGGGGTTTCCGACTGTCGGCTTGCCTAGTGGCGATGGGTCAGCACCACTTGGGCTCATAGCCGCTCTCGCCTCCAGAACGGGGACAGCTTTTGGCCTTTTTGAAAGCGAAACCAACAGATCAAATATGTTGAAACAAGGGGCTGGCCCAAGCCTGGTGGCAAAAACAATCTTTGAAGGAGTTTCTGGAAACAAGTTTTTTGCTGAGGGCTGCCATAAAAGAGTAAACGGAAGTCGTGCTTCTTCTACTGGGTGACACAACCCGAAATTAAAACATGTTTAAGAATTATTGCTTGAAAAACCTTTGTTTCCCTTGCAAGGATAACCGGCCTGTCCTCTCTCCCTGTCGTGCTACCCTGTCACCCGCCTGCCGCTGGAGGCATATTATAGCCAGTTGCCCATTCCGAGCCTGTGCCTGGCAGCAGTTTGGGGATGCAACACCGGGCTGCAAACCCACCGCCTCACTACTGGTGTTCGACCTTTGCCATGAATCAAGGGGCATCAAGGGGCACTTGAAAGGGATCTGGAAAGGGGAAGTGTCCTTTAACTAGTGAAGCTCTCCCTGGTCTCTCTGCCGTTGCGTCCAGAGGGTCTTGAGCAGTCGGCCTAGCAGCTAGCCACGCGGCAAATACCCAAGTCGGGATATATATATATATATATATCCGTTTTGGTGTCCAAGCAAAAACGAAGCATGCAGCTGATGCATGCCCGACCTGCTTTTAATTTCTTGAAACTGTGGGCTGGAGGGTGAACAGGGTGGTCCCGGCCGCTTTCGATAAATGAAGCTCAAAGAGAAACCAAGAGTTACCCAAACCATGCGAAGGTTCTATTCACATTAGGCACAGCCTCAAGTACATGCCCGAGCCTGGTGAGCCGGGCATAATGGGCATATAGGTGCCCGTCATCATCCCCGGCGCCTGGTACATGATGGCCTTGGCTAGGCGCACCGCCATGTCAGGCGGTGCAACGCATACGCCCTCCCCCATTCTGCCTCAGGGTTTGTTTTTTTTTCTTGGGGGGGGAGGGACGGGTCGCAGCTGTACCTTTGCCCTCACTGCAGCTCCAGCATTATGAGGTTCAAAAGCGGCCATCAAAAGGACAGGCCGGTCGAAACCTATCATTGTCATGTGCTGGTCGCATGCTCTCTATACATGGTGATTGGGAGCGACAAAGTCGCCCGCCGGCCTGCCTAATTACCCGCACACCCGCACGCGCACAACTAACAGCAAAGAACAGCAGGTGCCAAGCAAACCCGATGTCGCGAGCGCCGTGACCGCGCGGTGCAGCCAGGTCGCACTAGGACGGTGGCATTGAGGCATCAAAGCCGCGGCAACGGCCAAAGGATCATCCTCGGCAAGGGAATCGTTTCAGGCCACGCTCGCATCAAACATCCCAAAAAATTAGAGCATGAGGCAACAAAGGCCGGACAACGCTAGCGCACCAAAGCAACAAATACCCTATGATTGCAGTCTAGATCACGACACACGCTAACAAACCAAACTTGCAGCCATTCAACATGCGCATCTGACATATGTTCAGTGTGAATTGTGCATCATCCCGGCCCCAACCCCGGTTTCGCCTCCGCGCCCAGGGTGAAAATCAGCTTTTTCTCTTGGCGCGAGCGGAAGTTCACTGAGAACCTCTCAGGGCCAGGCTGGGCTGATGGGGGCTGGGGGCCAGGGGTAAGCCAGCTGTTTGAAGGAGGCGTTGGACAGGATTCACAAGATTTAAGCTTGCAACAACGGCCAGCCCATTGAAAACTCAAGCCGCATTTGCCCAAAAGCTAAGCTTTGAATTACATTCACCTTCGCGTACCAAAAAAGAAGAGGGCCCAGTAGAACGCCAACTGCAAACGGAAATCATGACAGCATATTCTGAAGCCACACCTTGCACCAGTGGTGATAGGAGGCATCACGACATCAACCTTGTGGGAAGTGGGTCGATTCTCCAACAGCTTGCCTGCACAACAACATAAATAACACTATTCACTAGCGAGACAACATGGAATATTGCAAGGCCTCGTCTTTCCCAAAAGGACAGGCCCCAAGACGCTTAGCATGGCATCCAGCTGGGCACTGGGCCCACTTGCCTGTGATACATGATCTGCGGCAGCATCACCACGTCCCTAGGAGAGCGCATCCAGCCAGCATACCTGGGCATGTTGCAACCCTGGGGGCATTGCAAAGGGCTTTAGAGAGACACGGAAAAGCCCCACCAAACCCAAGCGGCCCAAAGCTAGTCCTTGCACCAAGTCACAGGCACCAGGTGTTCAGCAGCCAGGCGAGGCCCAGCAGCACAGCCAAGGCCTAACTCGCCGGTTGAGTCGAATTCACCAGACGGGTGTGTGTGTGTGTTGTGTTTGAGTGTGGCACTTGTTGTTGGGCTTGGCTTTTTGGGAACATAAGGGACAAGTCGGACAAGTTGGGCGAAGACTTGTGCCTCATTACCTGGCTCACATGTCAGCACGCAAGAATGAAGCTTAACCTTTTGGCGTGGATGGTTCGGAGAACACTGGTCAGAAGGTCGAATAGGGACGAATGAGCTGATTCAAGGCTCTAGGTAGGCCCCAGATTGCGACAAAAAAGCCACAACAACAAACCGCTTATATCACTAAAATTTGGCTTGTCACTATCCGAACCCTCACTTCCCCACAAGGGCCTGGGGAAAATGAGCTTTGTTTTGGGGGAGGGGGCTCCACTTCCAACACACGTCTTTTTCCCTCTCCGGGGTCCGAAAATAACAATCATACTATAATGGGCATGGCTGCTCCTTCCAAAGGCGTTTTGTTTTCAGCCGGTTCACGGCCAAAATGAGGGAACAACCCTAATGAAAGCAACATTCATCATGACAGAGGTTGCAAGCCAAATCGCCATGTAAGGTTGCTATGGTCTGCCCAAAACGCACGACTCACTGTATACGGCGACCAGCCGCATGTCTGGGGTTGGATGTCCTGGATTGGATGTCTGGGGTTGGACACGTTTGACCCCCTAATTCATATGGCAAATTCCATAACCAACGACCACACGCGTCGCTCGCCCCAAGAGAATGCAGCCCAGTAACACAAAATAACACAAACACCCCGTTAAAATGGCACCCAGTGATTATCATTTATATAATATGCCTGTTTCAAAATATGGGTGCCTTCTCTAGCATAACCAAGACCAGCTATTTCAGGGGTCCCAAACTCCCCCCCCCCGGTTATCGTTCAAATGGGCACAACCTCTAAGCGAACCATCCCCCTCCCCCCAAAAAAAGCAAAGCCACCCTTATTCACCCTTGAAGGACACCCTCCACTTACCTACAAATCTTTCAAAAAATCAAAGACCTGAAATAAGGAACCAAACACAGGAAACTCTACACGCAGTTAGCCAAACTTTGCTATTTGGCCGAGAGTACCTCTAGAATTTCCTCTGTCTGGCTTCTATGAGGCCCACATCATGGCTTTCGCTCGCTTAAGGCGGTGCGAGCTCGCCATAACCCGCACCATCCCGCACCAAGCTTCGGTGCTGCCCACTGCCGCAGCCAGCAGCGGCATCTGCACGCCGCTGGCGGGCTCCAGGGGCGAGGCAGTGCACATAGGCCTGGAGAAACGCCGCGGTGGCCATGGGGGGGCTGGGGGGCTTGGGGGGGCCGCGGGGGGAGGGGTTGCCTCTCAAGCCCAGCAACAAAAAGGTCAAGAACAAGGGGACAAATTGACCAAGAAAGGAGATGCGGTTGTGGCCGGTGAGGCGACAAAGCTCGACCGACTTTTCACCGGCTTGGCAGCTGGTGAGGCAATGCCACCCGAGTCGCTGCTTCACGTTCTTGCAAATGGACAGGTCTTGGCCAGTCGTTGCCAGTACGCAAGTCCTGAGCTTGCGCAAAACTCAATCTGCAAGCAAAAGTCGAAGGGCAAATGTAGTAGCAATGTGGGCATGAGCCAAAATGCGGGGACCCCAAAATGGTGCAATCCTTTTGGCTTCCCTTTAAACCAGCCTTTACCCAGCAAAACCAAAAAACAACAACTCGAGGCTTCTTGCCGGCAGTCCCTGACCGTCAGGCTCTCTGGCATTGGCCTACAAACAGCTCTTGTTGAAGAGCACGGCCGGACCGAAAAGGATCAACAACCGCGTGAGCAAGTCCCAAACCATTGAAACAGGGTTGTCGGATACTTCAAAACCAATTGAATTTAGTCACGACTGGAAGAGTAAACCATTAGTGATCATTTATCCGCACAATTCCCTGATTTTGTATAAATATGTTTCTTTGACAATCCCTTTTTGTTTCCGAGGGCCTTTATGAATCACTATCCCACATTCAGTTCAAGGGCACACGTGCCAAACCAAACCCTGACAGAACTGAACTCTACGACTCTATGCCCCACAAACGCAGGCCATCGACTAATACTCCTTGTTGCACGTGGGCACAACTACATTTGTCACTTCCTTTTACATTCATGTGAAACAAAACATTTACAATGCCCCGGCCAAAAAAGCCACATGGCCATGGGGCAAAATCCTGTACCCCCAATGAACATCCCAATCCTCACTAAAATAGACTAAAATGGGTGGTGCACCTACCCCAAAATGGTTCCATTGCGTTTTGACCCACAGCCACATGTGGTTCTTTTGCATGGTGTGTCAATTGGTGGAAAGCGAGTCATCGGTCAAAGAGCTAAACCTAGTCCAACGTCCCGAAAACTCTCGAAGTGAGCAGAGCCGACTCTGGCCCAACCGAACGCATGGCCGGACCCGCACCCAAAGTTCAGCTGAGTACCTGAAGAAGCGAGTCTGGCTGCTATACATACTGTCGCGAGTCAGGATTAATCAATCCAGTACACACGTCACATATATCCACCCTGTTGCCATTTCCATTGAACACACAATGGGTTGTTGCAATTAAATTCTTCTAAATCCTCGCAACAGGTTAGGTAGCACCTCAATGCATGGCTGGGGAACCCTATTGCTTTAAGGCCGTTTTCTGTGATGCCTTCGAAATCACGTCATGTGAATGGCCCCCTTTGGCATCACAAGGCTTATGTATGCTTATGTCCTCCCCAACCATGGCCATGGCTACGTGCAAGCGTAGCCGTGGCCTTGCCAGCCCAGTTCTCCCCGTCCGGGCCGCAAATCCGCGAGGCCGCCGCAGCTGCAGTTCCCGACCCCACAGGTGGGCAACAGTGGGGAGCCCGGCTCTGGCGCGCAGCTGCCAGGGCCGCCTGGGGTCCCACTGCGGTCCCTACACTTCACGGAAACTCACCTTGGGACCCCAAAGCATCCCAAAGCTGATATTTAACATCTGGCAACATCTGGCAACATCTGGCAACACAGGGACCCCTGAGCACCGCAACTTTGGTTCCTCTCTTGGTTGTTCGAAATTGGGAGGGGTTCCCGAATCCCCGAATCCCCGAATCCGAATCCGATCATGGTGGCACACCGCCACAAGGGAAATTGGTATGGAGAAAGGATTGATTTGAACAACCCGGCCTCTGGATTTGCTCCCTAGCCATGGTAGTGCCGGTGTTCTCCTATTTGAATTGCCCCATGTTCCCCTTGCGTTTCTGATAGTATCCTTGGTTTTTGGTCTCTTGCATTCAGGCTACCCCAAGTTATGTAGTCTCTGCTGTTTTTCTCAGGGTGCCTGACGCTCCAATGTTCCACGCCATCCAGCTCTCACCCGGCTCCGTTCTATAGAACAGGAACTGGACTTCTATGATGCTCAGGCAGCACTACAACTACATTGCTAGTTTCAGGGAACATGAGTTCAGTGTCAACATCAAGTGAGTGGCCGACATTTTGCGGTTGGAGGAATTGATGCTACGTGGCATGGCTCCAGACGCTTCCAACAAAAACAGGTTGGCCTTGAGATGGTGGTCTCAGGTATATCACATGTTGGATACGCAAACTCCTGGAAAACAACAACGGGGCTTTGTCCGGTCACTTGTGTTGCAACATCTCGCCAACCAAAGCTTCTGATGTTTTTTGGCAGCTCTGTCCAAGCCGTGTTGTCTGGGAAAAGGGCGCCTTTCAAACCAGTTCAACATGGCAAGAGCCGTAGCCAAATTGGGCAACTGATGGCTCATCCGCGGATCACTGGAAGCGTACCTTGACAAGCCCTGGCATGGAACTCGTTGCTGTTCATTCAATGAATGGACTGTATGAAGCACGATCGAAATTACTTACTTGCGGCCATTTCGCTACTCTGTTTGAGCGCCCATCGTTTTCTAGCGTTCTGTATTTTCTGACACTTCTCACTCTGCAAGTATTGCGGGAATAGAGGAGCAGAAAGAGAGGCAGAGAAGGGAAGAAGGGAGAGAAGGTGTACGGGAAGGGAATAAGGGAAGTGAAGAAAGCAAGGAAACCAAAGAGGGAAGACAGGCAGGAATTAGAAAGTAGAAATGGAAAGGAGGAAGAGGAGGAGAAAAGCAAGACAGGCAAGGAGGAACGAAGGAATTAAAGCATGAAGGAAGGAGGAAGAGGAAGGCAGGAAGGCGGAAGGCGAAAGGCGGAAGCGGAAGGAAGGAAGGAAAAGGAAGAAAGAAAAGGAAGAAAGGATTGAAGGAAGGATTGAAGAAAGGAAGGCAGGAAGGAAGGAAGGAAAGAAGAAAGGAAGGAAGGAAGGAAGGAAGGAAGGAAGGAAGGAAGGAAGGAAGGAAGGCAGGCAGGCAGGCAGGCAGGCAGGCAGGGAGGGAGGAAGTCAGGAAGGCAGCAAGCAAGCAAGCAAGCAAGCAAGCAAGCAAGCAAGCAAGCAAGCAAGCAAGCAAGGAAGCAAGGAAGGAAGCAAGGAAGCAAGCAAGCAAGCAAGCAAGCAAGCAAGCAAGCAAGCAAGCAAGCAAGGAAGCAAGGGTATCGTTTTTTCAGTGTCCCCTATCGTTTGCCATAGTGTTGTGCATTTCCGCAGCATCAATGAAACGCCGAAAGCTAAATTCAACAGAAGTAATTTTGACGCTTCATATACGTCCTGGTCGAAAAAATGGAAGTGAGAACGTTTATCCGAGTTTATCCCGAGACTCTTCTGGGGCGAACCCTTGATCCCATGAAACGGGAACATTTCTAGGCGATGCTGGAGATAACTGTTAGGGACCGTTCGCTCTCGTCGTGTGCGGCTGGCCCAAGGCGCCCAAAATTCCAAAGGCGTTGTCAAGGTGAAGTGCGGAGTTCAACACCCAGCGGGTCCCTGCTGGCTGAAAGCTGAGAACGCTGAGGCATGGGCACTCAGTGCGGCGGCTGAGGCCATAGGCAACCGGGCCTCCAGTATCTCTCATCACGTCTCTCTCATCTGCTCAAAATGGCCCCAATGACCCAGGGGTGCTGGAGTGACCTTGAGGATAGTCAGAATCATCCTTGACCTAACATCCGGGCCCTTGCCCAAGCCCGATTCGTGCTCTGACTGGCTATGGCATGGCCTGAAATCACCCACAATGCTGCCCAGAGACACAGCACCACCAAGAAAAAGCACCTGGCAAAGAAACGCAAGGCCCTGCAGGCAAAATGTGAGGGTGCCCTCTTTTGAGGGCACCTTTTGTTTGTTTGTTTAGGGGAAAGCCAGAAGGGAACACCGACACGGAGCCAACCCAATGTTCAAGCTACCAAATCCCTCTGGGGGGGCCAAGGTCCAGTTCCACAAGGGGCACATGACTTATCGATGGCCCAGTGAATGAGCCCGTCCCTTGCTCTCGCCACTGCCCTTGCTTGGTGGGGATCCACTTCGAGATGCAAATGAAACCAAGCTGAACAATGTCTTTTGGTTCACCTGCCGCTCCTGCAATGGAAGCGACAACTTAATTGCAACTCCCCTCTCAAAAGAACAGGGAAAACGCAGAAACCCTGTTTTCCCGTTGGGTTGACCTTCAGCAAGCAGAAGGGTACTGGGAACCACTGAAAAACCTGAGGGAAGCCTTTTGACAGTCGTCCGGTTGTTTCACTTGCTTCCATGAAAGCCGAACCAAGAGAAACCCGTGCAGTGCGCCGTACAGGTTGAACCGGAAGGTCGTTGAGCCAACAAGAAGGCCCGACCTCCCCGCCAAATTGCCCGCCGAGTGTCCACAGGATCCAAACAAACAGCACGGCGCCGGTGAAGGGCCTCCGACGCAACGTCATGTCAGGTGTTCAATGTCAGGGCCTCCGACGCACTTAATACGTCCACCTCCCGTTGGGTGCCTTCTTTTTGTAGAACAAATGTGACCTATGAATTCCTTAACATCCACATTGAGCCCAACTACAGCGTATTTCAACTCAATGCGACTCACCCAGAAATGTGTCAAACATTGTCAGGCTCCCTTGTTGTCACTTTCCAGCTGGTTCCAGCAATCTGGTAGATGGTTGGCCTGCACCCTCATGAGTGCCATGAAATGGGGTGCGCGCGAGTGTGTGTATGTGTGTGTGTGTGGGTGTGGGCGAAGGGGGTGGGGGTGCGTGCGCGTCGGCGTGGGCGTGTGCTGTGTGTGAAGTGGGGGCCCCTTTACATCTTCGGATGCAATGAGAAACTAGTTATGCAATCACAATCCCCCAACTCAAGACAACAGGAAGAGGGAACCACAGGCAACTTTGGCCCAATCGGGATCAAACATTCAGGGTGGTGGGTCAGCACGGAGGTGTGCCTGCCTCTGGATCCTGTATCTGGCTGCCTCAGCTTGTGCAAACGCTTCGACCGCAGCTTTAGGCTTTTGGGAAGAGATGTTTTTAGTTCTGGACGTGACCCCCAGCCCCACCCGACACCGGGAAACCAGGGTGACCCTCGAACATAATCTTCCTCCCGAAAGCCGGCGCAAGTTCAACGTCAGGAACGGAGCAAGCTGCAAATCAATGCTCAGCTCATACCTTAACTTATGTAGAGCCAAACTTTCGCAAAGCGTGCTCGACGAGTCCCAAATAAAATCGGGGGTAGCGAAAAACATGGAACGCAGCCTCAGCCTCATAGGTTCAACTTGGATTGCTAAAACGGACGGTAGACAAATCAGGGCCTGGACAAAATTAACATTTGCCCACCCCCGCCCCTTTCGTTTCCGTCATGTGTACGAGAAACTAATACATGTGGTATGTAGAACCCGGTTTGGATCCTAGACACAATTTACTTCAACACGCCCTAACCCGTGGTTGAAGCTAGCAAACCCTAGCAAGGGGCTAGGAGGCACTTGGAAGGCAATATTCCCCTTGTACATGGCTTTTCTACCAGGATTCCATCTGAGCTTTAGGTTCCACCAAACTCATACTCCCAAGAAGTTGCATCGGCGATATAAGGGTGAAAAGGGGCACCCAAAGAAGCTCAATCCGAGTTGAAGGCTAATACGGCGACTCCTGTGGCAGCACCCTGAGACGCCCAAATGGGATGGACCAGGTTTGGTTTTTGGAGTTCTAATAGTTCTAATGGTCTTCAGGGCAGGCAGCAAGGAGTCTCCTAGCAAGGTGAAAATAATGGTGTTTCTCAAAGTGAGGGATTGCCCCAGGTTGCATCATTGTTCCCAACCGTTTTGAGACATGACATGGAACACACCCCACTGCGATAGCCCAGCGCCATATTGCACCGTCGAAGGGGTCTTTGGAATGGGGTTTGTAACTTGTAACTGCGATGCTTGCTCCAAGGGTGTTTGTGGTTTTTTCGGACTGCTTCTCAGGTGGTCTAAAGGCCGGGGCGAAAGCCTAAGTGAAGCTCGTTCCTGCTATCTGTTTTACACAATCATGGAAGTGAAGGGTCCTTCAAAATTGACAATCCGCCAAAAACCATCCAAAACCCATGCCTGTTGGACAAATATGGTACACAAGTGTTCTCATTTCGGAAGCAGCCATTGGAAACCACAAATCAAATAGACAATCAACAGCAACAACAAAACACACACACACACACACACACACACACACACACACACACACACACACACACACAGGAACACTGCAAAAGGATACAATTTTGCCCAAATATGGGTGTCTTTGAGGGTACCCTTCTGGTCGATGATAAAGGGGGCTAACAGGAAGAACACACATTCTACTGGGTCCCCACATGAGACAAATCCTGCTCCGGCCGGGGCGCCACCTGGTCGCCCAGCCGCTCCGCCACGCCCAGGGAGGCCCGGGCGAAGCCCCGGAAACGGCCGCAGCGGCACCGGAAGATGCCCAGCCACCAACCTACGGCTCCAAAAATCCAGGGGGGGGGGGAACCCTATTTTTTGACCCTTCCGACTTGTTGTTTACCCTGCTCAGTTTTTGGTTGGACGATGCAAACGCTTTAAACATGTGAGAGCATTGGGATTCCAGTGACAGCCCGCCCCCCCCCCCCCCAACAACTAATTTCGAGAACCCCTCAAATGCTCTCTTTGATGCACCCAGCACAAAGGATCGAAAGATGGCACCCAACGAATCAATATTTCCCTTTGAGTCACCCCGACAGGCTGTGAGCTGTAAAGGGTCGAATCCCCCCTCCTTGAGTAGGGGCGGCCGTGCAAAGATCCTCGTGATGATTCTTTGTCACCTGAAAAGCGAGCTCCTTGCACCTTTCACTTCCCGGTGTGCCTTGGGGTTCCTTGCCTGTGGCGCATTGGCCACAGTGCAGTCAAACAATAAAACGCTAGCCCCAAATGGATTGCAGCACATCGACCCCGCCCAAATTGGACACGTGGAAAAGCGCACAAGTTGTAGCCTAAGGCCATGGTCGGATGGGGCTTTGCCTTGGACCACCAGCTCCGACCCTAGGATCATGAAGAATGCGCGGCAAGGCCTGCGGCAGTGGCGCAAAGCGCCTCAGAGCAACCAGGTCCCACACCGCTTGCCACCGAAATGCACTACCATGGCAAGATTGAGCTTCTGCCCCTGGCTGCCAAACCATAAGAAGGCCCCCTGACTTCCAAACCATGAGGACTTTAACGAACCGCCGTAAGTGGAAGGACTGAGGGCGACTAGCAAATGATTGGCAAAGAGATGATTCTGACTGGGTGGGACGTACGTCACCCTACAAGCCTCCCTTGACATTTGGACGCTGCTCCTTGCCATGCGTTCAAGACCATTATTGACCGTCAAATCCGGAAAGCGGTCTCCTCACTGGGTGACAAACCGACCAAAAGAGGCCTCCTTTGGTGAGGTCTTGGCTAGTCAGAGACCACACTAACAAAACCAAACCAAATCCAGCCAATCCAACCTTCAGCCAAACCACCCCAGGCCATGCCCCCTTGCAACCAAAACCTCCGAGCAAACCAGCCGAACTCCCCACGACATGGCAAGCCCTCAGCGTTCGTAGGCCCGGGCCGTAAGCACTGCCAGCGCCGATGCGGCGCCCAGCGCCTCGGAGTCGGGGCCTGGCGCTGACAGAAACAGCCCATGGGCCAAGGGGCACCCAACGACCCAAAACCAAAACCGAGGGGGTTGGGGGGGGGGAAGGGGGGGTGTCACTGCACAAAGAGGCCACCACCCGGGGGCCCGGTAGGCCCCTAGTTCTTTCCGGAAGGAAACCTGTCTTCGAAGAGCGAACAGAGTATTGGGTATCACCTTCCTAAGGTGAAGCTTAGCAGTGGCATGCCTGGTTGGGTTGACAACCAAGAGCCCGTTATGAGCCATGCGCTATGCAAAAAAATAGGTCTACCACTGCCAGCGCTCTTGGACGCGGCGTCAGGGACAGAGGCGACTTTGAAAGTTGAGAAACTGGAGGGGGCCAATGGATTTGAAGTATGCTACTCACTTGAAAAGATCAGGGTGAAAGGCTCAGCCCTGGACCATGAGTGAACGTGGGCCAGATCGAAAAATCAAGCAGTCGGATATTTAGCAAACTTGGACTCAGTGGGAGCCGGCAGTCCATTCCTGGACTAGAACCGACCGCCGTGCCGAGAACTGTTGTGTTGCCTGAGGATGCCTGAGGTAGTGACTTCCTTGGAAATGTCTGCCTTCCGCCTCACGTTTTGGCTAGCTGCCGATGGCATCTTCGTCCTCAACCAAACCTGTGACTCTTTGGGAGGGAACCCATCGCGTGAGTCGACCTGGAACATGCCAACTCCGGACCTCTAGGCCGTCAGAATCGCTAAACTGCCCTCCGTTGCAGAGCTTGCACGAAAGGCCCGGGCAAACCGTGACAAACCATGGCAATCACACCACCCAACGCCCAGGGTGTGCTTAAGACACAGCCTGTGACGTGTCTAATGTCTTACGTCTCCATGTTCCTTCACTAAGGCGCAGGGTTTTCGGCCAAGAACAAACAAGGGCACCTCCTGAAAGTGCAGAAGCCCCCCTCAACACCTGAGGGGCGTGTCATGCTTCCAAGGGTCCACAGGCAACCCCTGCAAAACGAAAGATCCGCTGCGGACGGCGGCCTTGGCTCATGTCATAGTTGCCCTCCACCCGGGGAAAGACCAGCCACATGGCGTGTGCCAGGCAGGCCGCTAGAACTAGAGTCAAGGTCAGGACGTTGAAGATCATCACCTGGTTAGCGAACACAAAACTTGGAGCCTGCCCACATGGCTTCAGTTCCGGCTTCTGAAGCAAACCCGTCCTGTTGTCTCTGTTCCGACTCAAGGCAAGGTGCCAGGAGGCTGAGCACGGGTCCGGTGCTCAGCGTCCTGATCTTCTTGTGGCGCACCAGCTTCTGTGCGGCCTCAGCCCCACGGACGTGCCCTGAGACTAGCGATGTTGACGCTGATGGGCGATTTAGCACTCAACTTTGGTCATTTACAACCGGACAGGTGCCGAGCAAACCGGTGCACAATTAGGAAGGACTGACTCTCCCGCCGTATGTTTCCCATGTACTTCAAGAAAACGGAGGTAAACCAAACTAAAGGAAGAGCCCTCAATTTAGTAAGCACCTGGTTTTTCTTGCTGGCTAGACTTCCTGCGCGGTCAGCGTGTTGCCAGATTCACTCTTTAATCACTCGGGGACAATAAGTTACTCCATCTGCTGCTGGATGTGCACACATTCCAGAACATGGCGTGCTTTGGCAGGCTGGGCTATGCGTAGGAAACGCGGACGTCTCACAAACCTCAAACGAAGACTGCAACTGGCAGCTCAAGCTTCTATAATCTTCTATAGGCATTTGCTTTCTCTCGAAGCCCAGGTGCTTTCCTGTCGTGGGTTGGTCTCAAAATTGGCGGGGCCGCCCTTTTATCTAGATGTCCCGCATCTCAAGCAGCTGAACAACTATGCAGCCGGTCATCAAGACTCTCAGCCACGCTGCGGTCCAAAACTCGGAGTTGGGATCGCCCAGGCGCGTGGTGAAGCGAACACTCGACCTGGGCGATTCGAGCAAATGCGAGTGATTGATGCCAACCACCCACACGGGAAAGGGCTTTGACCACGCAAAACCACGCAGTGCTCGAAGATGATCTGGGCAAGACCGTGCTACGTGGATCCAGGCTTGCCCTATTTGGTCTCTTGATGTCTCTTGGCATCGGACCAGGCTCATTTCACGGTATGGCCAACAGCCAATCTTTACCAATCCTCCCGTCACCCCACACACACACACCCAACCCAAACAGGGACTCCTTCACAGGCGGCCTCTCCTATCCCAACCACAAATCAAGCAAAATCAAGCGCACCTCTGAGGGCAAGTGGTATAGGAAGCCTCCTGGTTGATGGGTGCAGGCGGCCTAAGGCCTGGACACATGAGAGAGGAGGTACGAGCTGCCTTGGCACTTCACCTGCCAGGCTGCGCCGATGGATGGCACTGTGGGATTGCCTTGGCCAGACTCATGGCCGCCAAAGTGGACCAATCAACTGGTATGTGCACCAACCATATTTAAGGGCTCCCACCATTAGTTGTTGAACCACGGCACATGCTAAAGCAATCAAATTTGCTACAAATACTAAATTGTTCCAGCCATTCATGTACACTGACAATCAAACCAAAAGAAAACTACAAGAACATGATCCAAACATCAGAACTCCATTGCGCCAGGCGTGAAACCAACGAAACCAAAATATTCCATAGATGACATCATCCAATCCAATCCGCTGCCGGCCTTTTCATCCTTCTCCTCGCTCTCCTGGCCCCGTGTCCAGGTGAAGCGCCCTGAGAACTTGTCCACATGCAGCTTCTCGGAGATGCGCACGCCTGAGGCTAGCGGGATTTAATTGATGTTTAAACCATATTTTTTAAACCACCGTTGTTCGAACAACACCCTTCTTTTCCCGGCGTTCTGGCTTAAGAAATGTCGCCCAACCCTTTTGGCTTTGGCCGACGTTGCCGGCTGGGATCCATCACAACTAGTGCTCATAAGGTAAATTGGGGTGCACAACCAGCGCATAACCCCAATAGCAAGGGGGGGCAAAAGAACTTTTGAGGCTTGGGCATTTGAGGGAGGCTGTTCGGAGAATGGGAAGTCGCCAGGGAACATGGCTCACAAACGCTGGCCGCAGCCGGTACTCTTTTTTGGTTAGGTTTTAAAGGCAGAAAGGAAACATCTGTTTGCAGTGGTCCACACGATGTCCACGCGCACACACACACACACCCAAATGAAGAAAAAGAGCCCAAAGCAAGCAGCGACCTGCAATGCATGCCAGCAGTTGACCCTGCAAAGGAGGCAGTGATAGTGAACATAGTTTGAAAATAACCCTGATCATCCTTGAAACCAAGCATGGGAAAAGCTGTGCACATTGGAACCCGGAAAAGGATTCTGCCCGATGCGCACGCGACTGCGCATGTCCTCGTCGCAAAGCGTCTGCGTAAGCAAAGCTATACCTGAGCTTCTCCAAGTCTCGCATGCAAAGTCTCAGAACGTCTCAAAAACCTGCAACTTACCGCAGTCCAAGCGGAAATTGACAAGCAAGCCTTTCCAAACAAAGAACCTCGACAGGGTAGAGTTGGTCATATCCCTGATCAGCGAGTTTGCCTGCAATTTTCCGGGCAATGAAAGCCAGACAATTTATGCATCCCGGGCGACAAACAAGGTCGGGGCTTCAATATCGACTCGCAGGTTGAAAAAAAAAAGGCCTGGGTTTTAGAGGGGCTTGGGGAGCCGAGCTCCCCTTCGAGGTTCCGCGTTAAAGCGTGTTCTTCTTGGGGCTTGGTCACAGCCACGCTGCACCTCTTCTCTTCCCAAGAGGTCCATGGCATCCGGGTCAATCGGAGCTAGGGCCAATGGTCGCGGTCGGTCCCTCCATGTTGGGGCACGTGGCTCCCGTCCCGCACAACTCCAAAACGGGTAATGTTCGACCGGGAACACATGAGGAGATGCCCCATTGAAGAGGAAAACCTTCGCAAAGGGAAGCAGCTCCGAATCAAAATGCCGTGGAACCCTGGCCCAGCCACGCAACCCTCAACAAAGTTCGCAAACGCGCCCTGGGTGCCTGCGGCCGTGGCTGTGGAGATGGCGGTCGATTTCAACCTCAAACGCTTCTCTTCATCGTTGACGTGAAGCTTGCGTCCTTGCTTTCTTTCTGTCTTTGCTGTAAGAAGTCTCCCCCCCCTGGTGTCCCATCCTTGCTTCGCCTCTCCTCACGTCTCGTTTCTTCTTGTCTCTCTTTATCTCTCTCCTCCTCCATGCAGCAGCGCACCGCTTTGAGGCACCTGCCAAAAGGATGCCTTGGAACCATCCAGCCAGCTGTCGAAGCAATGCCGCGAGCCCCACCCTTTGGCAACAGGTGCCTACAAAATCGCTTGCAAATGGCTCGGCGTTGCCGACTGCTGCTTCAAAAGCCATAGCTAAAGTGATGGTTTGGCCACCACTACGAGGCAAAGGGAGCATTGATGGGCTGTGCCAGAGGAGCCTCAAAATAAGGCCACGCTGAGCACCCGCAACAAACTTCCATGCACGGCAACTTTCAATCTGATTCCTCAGAATCATAGGGACTTACACCAGCTGATGCAAGGCTGTAAACAAAAATACGGCGCCCACCAATCAACACTGGACTTTACAATAGGTCAACCCGCCCAGCGCTAAAGTGCAGCAAAGCCACAGTGCTGGAAGCGATCTCTTGCGTGATCATCTGGCCGAACCTCAGGCACGGGGTTCCATGCCCTCGGCGTCCGGGGACTCCCCTGCAGATTGGCATGGAATCCCTCAGTTCCTTGAAAACAAACTTAATTCTTAGGTACATTTGCAAGGGGAGCATCCCCGGCCACGGACACAGCTGTGTCCGTCAAGGCCTGCCGCTGGACAGAGCCCAAGCGTTGGGGGCCACGGCACCGCGCTCACGTCTTGGAGCTCCTTTGTCTCCCATTGTAGGACCTGTGGGCAATTTGTGGAACTCGCAAACCGGAAAGGGGCCAAGTTCATCTCGGGGGCCTTCATGGGCAAGCTTTCCACAAGGTAAACTCATGATAACTGAGAGTAGGGGGGTTTGGGTTGCGTAACGCCTAGAAGCCTAGAAGCCTAGAAGCCTAATACTGGCATCACGCCTAGAAGCCTAGAAGCCTAGAAGCCGAATACTGGCGTCACGCCTAGAAGCCTAGAAGCCTAATACCGGCGTCACGCCTAGAAGCCGAGAAGCCTAGAAGCCTAGAAGCCCAACGCTGGCGTCACGCCTAGAAGCCTAGAAGCCTAATACCGGCGTCACGCCTAGAAGCCGAGAAGCCTAGAAGCCTAGAAGCCTAATACTGGCGTCACGCCTAGAAGCCTAGAAGCCTAGAAGCCCTACAAGCCTATATGCTTTATCATTGTTGTTGCGGTTCTGCGCCTTGGCACTTTTCTGCACTTACACGCTCACGCTTTATTGCGCTTAATTGCGCTTCTACGCTTCTGCGCTTAATTGCGCTTTTGCGCTTAATTGCGCTTCTGCGCTTAATTGCGCTTCTGCGCTTAATTGCGCTTCTACGCTTCTGCGCTGTATTGCGCTTTTCCGCTTCTGAGCTTTATTGCGCTTTTGCGCTTAATTGCGCTTTTGCGCTTAATTGCGCTTCTGCGCTTAATTGCGCTTCTACGCTTCTGGGCTTAATTGCGCTTTTGCGCTTCTGCGCTTAATTGCGCTTAATTGCGCTTAATTGCGCTTCTACGCTCCTGCGCTGTATTGCGCTCTTGCGCTTCTGCGCTTTATTGCGATACTGCGCTTCTGCGCTTTATTGCGCTTCTATGCTTCTACGCTTAATTGCGCTTGCACGCGCTGATTCTTGCGCATCTACTGTTTATTTGCGCTTCTACGCTTTACATCGCTCTACTGCGCTTCTACGCTTTACTGCGCTTCTACGCCTCTACGATTAATTGCGCAATGACTATTGAGGTTGATAAATCATCATTTAGGAAAATACACAGTCCGTGTCCGACGGTGAAACAGGAGGACAAGTATTAGGGATCAGAAACAACCAAATTAACTCAAGCGGCATGAGGCCCTGACGGGAATAGGCGCTTTATGATCAAGCAGAGGCCAGCTAAGATCTTCCGTCTCCACTGCCCATCGCTCTCGCGAGGCAACACCTACACCAGTACATCGGATCTTCGGCAAATATGGGTATGTGTTTTTTTGACGTGGCCGTGCCGGGAGGTTGGCATAAGGGGTATGAATCGCAGGTATGGTTCGGGGTATGGCTCGGGGGTATGATTCGGGGTATGGCTCGCGCGCCTCTGAACTTTGGACACTGCAAAGCTCCCGTGCGCTGGCAACTGGATAGCCGTGAGCATTCGGACCGCTTAGTTGCTGCACAGCCTGGGGCGCTTGTGAGTGGCCTGAACTAGACAGCTGCCACTCTGCGTGAGCGGGTTAGCAAAAGCTGCTGCGCTAGGTGGAAGGCGCAGAGCCACTGCCTGAGGCGAACGTCATTGCCACCTCCACTTGGAGTTCAAGCGACCCGCATGCTCACAGACCCAAGCAAGCGTTGCTTAAGGGGAAGCGCCGCTGCCCAGTCAGGCCCGCCACCCGCACCAGTCACGAACCAGCATAAGGGCAAGACAGCACCACATGTCAAGCTCTCTAACACTGTTTCTTGACAAGACCCCCTTCTTCACTTGAAGTTAAACCCCCTATAGCTTCCAGCTATCCATGCATGCAAATGCCACAGTTCTTGCAAGTTCTTTTTTTGTGTTTTTTAAGGGGTATGACTCGGGGTATGGCTCGGGGGTATGGTTCGGAGTATGATTCGGGGGTATGGCTCGCCCAACCCCCACCTCCCACGAAGACTAAAGAACTGACACGGTAAAAAAACACAGACCCATATGAACAATAATGAAATGGATTGAGATTTGAACATGTAAATTGATGTCTGCCATAGATCCTGATGAAAAGCAGAGCCAGTTCCAGTTGAGGGGATGCGCCCAGGGTTGTTGATCTTCTTCCCACCATGAGTTCCACGATTGGTTCCAGCCGCTCCAGTAGGTGTGGTTGCCACTGCCAGAGGTGTGGGATAGGCCTCCTTGTCACACCCACAACGCCGGGGAGAGGGGCCTTGCCAGTACCTGAATGTGCTCTCACTCTCGACGAAAATTAGCAGATCAATGGGCATCACTGGTCGAGGTTGCCATATAATGCCACAAGCTGCTTGGTCTGCAAAAATCGTCCGCCGTGGCAGACACACATATCGTCGGGGTTGATCTCCTCGACTTCCTCCTGCGGTGGCACCAGCGCTAGCCGTGCTGCGTACCTTGGAACAGCACGGCACCTTTAATCATCTCCTTAGGCGCGCTCAAAGCTCAGGGTGACACAGCGGGCCACTTTCTGGATAAACTCAAGCGCAGAAGGCGTCAGGTCTCCCCGCGGAGCGCTGTAGGCAGAAAACGGGTCGGTGATGAGGCGCTCGTAAAGACTTTTGCAACCCTGCCCCACAAGACCAAGCTTTCATAATGCCCAAACCTCCTTGGCCGCTCCTAAGAGTCCATGTGCTGCGTCAATATCTGGGTGTCGATTTGCTCCATGATTCAGGGAACGGCCATCTCTTCAACACGTGCCACTTTCTTGATGTCCGGCATTTTCTCCTGCAGAACGTCGCATTGAAGCAATGAGTTGAAACGGGCACATTTATCGGGGAGTGCGAGGACACGTCGCGCGGCCATGCCTACCTAACGGTAGTGCCTGGGTCAGGCTTGAACGCAAGGCCGGGGGGGCCAGGGCCGACCGCCCTATCAACATCGCGGTTGATGTCGATAAGGCCCCGGAGACGGGGAGGCCCTTGTCACTTAAGCTTGGATGTCAAGCAAGGTCATCATTTATGCGGCCCTAAATTCATATGGTCCAACTGCACGCACGTGAGCCTTCGTCGCAACAAGATCAGGTATCCAAGGCATCAAGGACGGCAAGGACCTCGCTCCTGTGCTCTTCTCGTTCATGGCGACGACTGATCGTGATTGAATGGGCAGTACAAGTCCTGGGGCGCGGGATTTGCAGCGACACGATGCGTCCGTTCCTGATCAGAAAGCCAACGAAGTGTACCGGCTTGGTTGATGAGAACCTTTCCAAGGATGAGCAGATCGAGCTGCGCTTCGAAACCGCCCGCTACGCTCTCTGCTGGAATTGGGCCCGAGTGGTCCACCAGCAGCCCGGGGAGACCCGTGGTCGGGGTGGTCTTTGGCAGCATCTCAAATAAGCAGAAGGCAACAAATTGGAGGTACGCCGAAGTCATTCACGCGCCCGAGTCGGAGTGCTACGTCAAAGAAACCTTGCATCGTGCGCGTGCGGTATGCAATTTTGGGCATCGCGCTTTCGGCGAGCGTCCGTGAAGTTCTGACAGAACCAGGCCGGGTGCCATTCTTCGCATGGTCACGGGTATAGCGGGTATAATTGCGGGTGATGCGCTTGGTTGAATATTACCGCTTCTGTCACCCAGTCATTGTGACCAGTGATGGAGCGGATGCGCAAGGGCATGATCTTGGATTGTTCCATTGAACACCTCGATATAGATCTCGATACGCTTCGATGCTCTGGCCGCTTGCAGCATGAACAAATTGAGCGCAGTGTCAATCATATCTGCGCTGGATCCACTTTGTGACAGCCTCAAAGTCCAGGGAAAGGTCATGCAAATTGATCTCGGGAATCGACCGCGTGGAGCGCTCGGCAGCATGACCGCGGACCAAGTGCGCCAGCTTCTTGCTCGACGGGAACACTGATACCCGAGCATCTGACTCACTCAAACACCGTCCTGCCTTTGAACTTGCGGAGACGGTTTCGTTTCTGGAGTTCACTACCCTTCTCGGCACAAATCTCGAATATTTTGCCAACGTGACTTCTTTTTGGCCTCTTTTGACGACTTGCAACCATTCACGCACAGTGTTGCAGTCCCACGCGCCCTTGCTTTCAAAAACTGCCATTCAAGATTGAAGCATAGAAGCCGCCAAAGTCTACGTCGCTGAGAGGCCCACAAGCCTAGAAGCCTAAAGCCGAGTCACGCCTGGAAGCCTAGAAGCTCTGCTGCGCTTCTGCGCTTTACTGCGCTTCTACGCTTCAGTGTGCACGCTTCTGCGCTTTCTTGCGCTTTTACGCTTCTGCGCTTAAATGCGCTTCTACGCTTCTGCGCTTAATTGCGCTTTTGCGCTTCATTGCGCTTCTACGCTTCTGCGCTTAATTGCGCTTCTACGCTTAATTGCGCTTTTGCGCTTCTGCGCTTAATTGCGCTTCTACGCTTCTGCGCTTGATTGCGCTTCTGCGCATAATTACGCTTTTGCGCTTAATTGCGCTTCTACGCTTCTGCGCTTAATTGCGCTTAATTGCGCTTCTACGCTTCTGCGCTTAATTGCGCTTCTACGCTTCTGCGCGTTGTTGCGCTTCTACGCTTTTTTGCGTTGCGCGCTTCTGCACTTTAGCTCGCGTCATTGTTTCTGCGCTTTGCTCCGCTTGTTCTGTGCTGCGCTTCTGTGCTTTGCTGCGCCTCGCTCCCCGTCGGTGCTTCTGCGCTTCTCGGCTTCTGCGATTTATTGCGCTTCTGCGCTTCTCGGCTTCTGCGGTTTATTGCGCTTCTGCGCTTCTGCGCTTCTCGGCTTCTGCGGTTTATTGCGCTTCTGCGCTTCGCGGCTTCTGCGATCTATTGCGCTTCTGCGCTTCTGCGCTTCTCGGCTTCTGCGGTTTATTGCGCTTCTGCGCTTCTGCGCTTCTCGGCTTCTGCGGTTTATTGCGCTTCTGCGCTTCGCGGCTTCGCCGCTTGACACACCCGGGCTGCAACCCAAATCCCCTTGCAATGTGATAACTTGCCACACCTGATCCGGACGCTTGTCCCCGCAAACGTCTTGACAAAACCTCCTCACAAATCCTTCAACCCCACGCTCACCCCTCAGTGAGCGATTCTGCTAAGTGCGGTGCGCACACTTGCAGGGGCGCTGGAAAGGGAAACGGCAACGAACAAATAATGAAGGACAAAAAGTAAAGGAATATCAAGCCAATGTTGGAAAATACATGAAGCAACGGACGCTCAACATAGTCTGGTCTTGTCTCTGTACGCTTCTTGTTTTCTTTTCCTGTTCCGTTTGTGTCGCCTTGTCTTGTCCAAGGACATCAACTTAAAACACAAAGATTCATTTAGCGACTGCAAAGAAAGCTCAGCCGTTTGGAGGAAGGTCTAAACGGGAAAAAAACAGCAGGAACTGCTTGGGGAAATGAACAACACCAATCCACTTAAAGTTAAAATCACATCAAGCCGGGCAAGGAAGAACGATAAAACAGGGCAATGCTTTACGTAGGGGACTCCCTTTTGCATTTGACATGTAATTGCCAGATTGTTGGTGTCAGCAGATCTTTCCAATATCACGTCTCTTGGCCCAAAACAGGTGTTTCTGTATCAGTTAGACTTGACAGTAGTTCCTCTTCTCGTTGGATATGCCTTTCATTTGAGGCAGGAGTTGTCGATATCTTGAGATCGTCCTTTACCAACTAGGTGTGCGTGGCATGTTCTTGTTCAGTTGTCTGAGGTTGGTCATTGACAACAATAATTGCCGAAGAGACACAAAACTGATGCAGGTGCTGCTACATGGTTTAGCGAATCTAAACAAACATTTGATCGAGACCCGTCAAGACTTCAACTGTTGAATAAATTCCCGGTGTCCTTCCTTCCTGCCCTCCTTCCCTCCTTCCCTCCTTCCCTCCCTCCCTCCCTCCCTCCCTCCTTCCTTCCTTCCTTCCTTCCTTCCTTCCTTCCTTCCTTCCTCGCTTCCAAAATGTCTGCCTTCCTACCCTGCGTGCCTGTCCCAAACAAATCTTCAACCCCCGCTCTCCCTCCCATCCTCGAGGTCTTGGCGCCCGGCCATGTGGCCGCTCCGAGGGAAGAAAACCTGCCCCCAGGGGACCCTCAACCAAGGTTCTTTGAAGGATGCATCCAACAATTACCTGCTTTACAAGGGGATCCTCCAAATTAGATGGTAAACTTGCCTTCCAACCGACCCAAATGCATCCTTCCAGGAAGCCTGTTGACATGGGAGGTTTCATGGGCATCCTCTCAGTTGCAGCCTGGCACCGATTGCGGTTTCCCCTTTACACTCCACTTTGCGCGAGGACTGAAAGCCCCGCCCCTGCCAGCAAATCCAGGAGGGGAACCATCCCTCAAACCCCAGAAGGCTTGAGAACCCATTAGCCAACCGCAAGATGCTGATCAAATGCTCCAAGCAAACAAACACACAAAACAAGACTACCAAGTCCACATGAGTCAACAACCTCAACCTCCCCAGCCCTCCCATGCCCTCACCTTGGCAGATTCCATCCAAGGCATGCGGAAGTCGGACCTGCAACGGACGCACAAGCGGATTCTTCAAAATGTGATCCCCGATTTTCCAAACATCCTGGGCACCATGAGAAGTATCTCCTCGAGTGTCCTTATCTGCCGTATGTTGGGTGACCCTGAACGGCTAACAAACGATACCCAGGATGCTACACCAATGCTCGTCCTTGGTGCAAGCAGGACACCGCTTGTTAGAACCTGTTGAACGAGTCCCTGAAAACGTCTGCTTGCCAAGTCAAAGGCAGCATGGGGCCGTGAACTTGGAGCGCGAATCCGAAAGAGACCTGGCTCCCTGTCCTCCCTTGAAACCAAGGGAGGCCAGACTCAGTTTGGCATTCCCTTTTACCTTTCCCGGCGTGTTCGAACATTTGAACCATCCCTTTCAGCCAGCCCGAGCGTGCCTGTCATGGATCCACCCAGAAACGAACAGGGCCAGGTGTACAGATCGTTGCACCTGTTCAAGTCCAAGCCGGTCAGGGAAAACGCCACACCAATCTCGTAGTCCTCTCACCCAAGCGGCCAGAACAACTTGGCACTGTTCAAAATCACTCGTGGCAATCCTGCCTGGTCAACTTTGTGCTGAAATTCGTAGCGGACCGTCTGCCGTTCACTCGAACTGGCAGTCGTGGGCATTGGCGCTTGGCACGTAGTTGCGATTTTTGAGGGCGCCATTGCTTTTTTTTTTCTCGAAAGGCGGCCAAAGAAAACCACCCATCTGTTAGGTGGCCCTATGTACATGGGGGTTCTAGAAGGTGCAGGCATGACTATTTTGTCGGAACTGTTTTTCGGTGCAAGGGTCCGCTTTACACAGTTGAGGCACGGCTGTTTTCTTGGGCAATGGCAATTCAACCGAAACCTGCACGCGTGCTGAAAGCGACCAAAACCAAACATGACCTCGCCAGTGACCATGGTAGCAAAGGAAACCCTTTCTGGGGTTGGCGGGACACGGCAAACAAAAAGACCAAAAGGCTCGACCAAACGTGTGGGTAACCTTGCCCACCCCTGCCACACATCTGAGGGGCCTTTGGCTCAACACGGTCCGGCGACCTCAGACTTCGGCGAATGAGGCGAGCCACCTACAGGTGGAACGGGTTTTGCAAAGAAAATGCTCTAATTCTCACCTGGCCAAGGGAAAGGAAAATACAAGGTAAGCATTTTGAGACCTTGAAGCAAAGCTGGAAAACCAAGAGGTCAGAAGGTTGGCTTTGGGCGACGAAGGATTTAGAGAGAACTCGCAAGGCCGAGGGAAGATCATGGCCAAAATCGTTCTGCATTGGGCGTCCATGGATCTTGTTGCGGGTCAATCAACTGGTTTCACTGTCCGATTGGCCGGCCATTTCTCTGAACATGGCACCTCACAGCTCTGAAATCCTGGTGAAAGAGAGGGCCAGCCCTAGTATATATAACCCCTCTCCCTGTGCCTTGAGACAGCCATGCCGCTCTATGAGGCAACTCCAACAAGCGTTCCCAAAATTATGCCCCACCTTAAAAACGAAAAAGGGGAGGAAATTCAGAAACATGTATTTCTTTTCTGTGGGGACAAGCTGTGGCTGCGCATGTGGGGGTGAGACTGGAACATAAGCGACTTGGTTGGCAGCTTGAGGCAGGCAGGCACTGGGCTTCCCAGCTTAGAAGCTCGCTGCCTGGCAGGACCACAAGTACTTCAGACCTGGGGCCCTCCAACTTCAGCCTCTTTTCCAGGCTTCAGGAAAGATTGATGACCTGGCAACAGCTCACAATCACAATATTGTTGGACATTGGTACAGGCGACCGTCCCTGGCAGCCTCTACGAAAATTGTATTAACCATGAAGAAGCGAGATGTTGAAAAAAGAAAGTGCTTTCTCATAAACAATATCTGAGCTGTTGCCAAAGAAGAGACATCTCCCCCTCCCCCCCCCCAACCAAAAAAAACAAAGGAGGTCTACCACCACCTCCCACCACCTCCCACCACCTCCCACCACCTCCCACCACCTCCCATCATCTCCCACACGGAACCTACCAGAGGTTTCCGTGAGCTGCTGGAGGACCCCCCAAGCCCTGGGCCTTTGCGCAAAGGCTGCAACTTGCCGCCCACCACCGGAACCGCCACCTCACACCCAAGGCAACAGGACTCTAGAAACAAGATGTTCGGATTCCAATTCATAAGAAGTCCATAGCCACCCCCCCGGGTAAAAAAAAAAAGAAGAGAGAGGCTTTGGGAAGCAAAGCTCATGGAAATCAACCGAGAGAAGAGGTCTTGATGCGAAGCCCCAGACTTGTTTCAATCACGTGCAAGGCGAAGAGAACCGTGAAAGCGCAACCGACTCCTTCTCCAAGCAGCTGAAATTCTGCCTCCCTTCAAAATTGTAAGATCATTTCCACTGCCCCCAAACTTGTATTCCCTTTGCACAGTTTGGGGTAACAAGCCCTCTTCCTTCTGGTGGGCAGCCAGCTTGTTGTTCACAATGAATGCGTAAACATGTGGTTGCTCTTCCCCTGTAAGGATATAGATGGTAACACAGTGCGGGCTGTGATAGCTCTTTGCGAGCTGACTCACGACTCACCGCTCAATCAAGCTAATGGAAGACGGTCTTACCCTGCACCGGCCATCAGCAACTCAGAAACAAAAGTGTCGCCAAGCCATGGATGAACCGCCACGTCAAGCCGACGAAACGGTCCAATCCGGCCGAACATGCGCAACTCAGCAGCACAGCACCATAATGTACAAGTTTGAGCTGCAGGAGAGGTCGCGCATGATGAATCAATTAATTAGACCTCCTTGACTGGAAGGCGCATCATGCCAAACGCATCTTCGTGAACAGGATCGTCCTTGTATTTCAAGGCGAAGTGTTCCATGGTCTTGTACCCAAAACGTTCATAAATGGCCACATTGCGGGTGCCATACGTCTCCAACCACAGGGCTAGACGTAGATCGTCGGCCCACATGTTGACCACGCGCATCACCTTGCCACAAAGACCGAGGCCTTGTGCATCCGGATCAACCGCCATGACCCTGACATGTGCGTGAGGACAGTTGCAATGCCTGGCAAAGGGAGTTTCTTGACTCAAGATTCCCCCCCAAACAATCCCCACCCAAAACACAAAACACTCTCGGTGACGTCAAGAAGTTAATGGGGCCCCAAGGCCATCAACACCAACCAATGTGTTGGCCTCTTTCAACAAGGAAAACCCATCCAGCTTGTGTGGGTACCAGGAAACGCAATATTTTAGTTTGACTTTGCGCTTATATAACCTTCTCCCAGCAGGGTTCAAGGGTTTTTGGTTCCAACTGCCTCTTCTTCACCTCTCCGATGGCATCCTTGGCTGCGAAGCCGCGGGCTCTCATCCTCTTGTAGGCCTTGCCCACCTTCTTGCTGGGTGGCATGCCAATGGGCCGCAGGGCTCGCACAAATTCCAAGGCATCGGTGATGTCCCCAGGGATGCCCGTCCTGACTTTCGCCCACTGCTTTGCTCACAGAGACATTTGACAAAACATGATGGTTCGAGATTTGATTGATCGACCGGGAAATATATTGATCGAAACTGGCGGGGCTGAGCCACTGCTGTTTGGTTGCATACCCAAACACGTGCATCTATCATCTAAACTTGGGTTCAGAAATCGTCCAAGCTTCTGGTAGGGCGACACCAGTACCACAGCACCCAGTGTGCCATCGGGCTTCCTGGCGCCCAACGCAAAGCCGCCGGACACCAAGCACCAGGACCATTCCACCTGGCAGAGGGTTCGCCCTGGTGAATATCCTAAACACGAAAAGCGTGTTGGGATGTTCATGGTACGATGTTTGGAGTGTTTGACACTGGAGCCCACTATACCCGCATCCCAGTCAGTTCTCAATCCAAAACGGCATCCCTGGCTTGCGAAACACGAGGCATTTATTATGTTAAACGGCAAGCTTCTCAAAGTGTCACATTCCCGTGCTTTGCTTCTGTTTTTGCTCAAAACCTAAAATATTCCGTTTGGCAGCTTGCCTTCATCAGCCACTCAATCACAGCTCTGCGCCCAGGATGGTCCCATTGCTCGCGGAGTGTGGGACCCAGGATCCAATCGGTTGTCCCCTCCGGCGCAGTCTCGGGCGTGCCATTGAAGGCGCGAGTCATGACACCAATGGCTTCCCAGTTGGCTTCAAGATTCTGACCTCAATCTCACGACTCCGTAGAATTTGAGCGTGAGCACCCGGTGTCGGCTTCGGATCAGGATCCAAAGCAAGCTGAAGGGATGGAATCCACTGGAACCGACAGAATCCTACAAAAACAAATGCATCCTTATCTGATGATAGTGAAGGGAAATCAGCAAATGACTCTAGTGGACGGCACAGCCGAAGATTCGTGAGAGTGTGATATTAACCGTTGAACGAACATGCCAAGTCAATGCGAGCTTGCGCATGCTATGCCAAGTGGTTCCTTCGAGAGTCTGCCAGAGTGGTGGTTGTGGATCTTTGGTGGGAAATTGACACACACACATAAAATATATATATATATATATGTGCATATATATATATATATAATACTGATATTATATATGGATTCCATTATGGAGGCCAGCACCAACTGATAACTCAATCACCATCCAAGACTCGAGAACATCTTTGCCTGTCTGAGATCAGCTGAAAGCATCATGGAATTGCATATCAGCGATTTTCTTCTGGGGTGTCTATTTGTCGAGGATGCCCACTTTTGATTTGTTGGCTTTCATAGGGAACCAACAGGAAGCCACCAGTTTGGGGGTGCCTACGTTGCAAAAACCGGCTTTTGCAGGTCGCCGAGCCGCTGGTCTTGACCTTCCGTTGACCCACCAGCTGTTCAACGCCAGTGGCCACTGCCAATTCGCCCACCGGCGATGAGACAACGCTGCCCATGGCTCAGAATGTGTCAGACGGCAAGATGTGCCTCCCAAAGCTTCAGACGGCTGCGACACGTTCCCAGGTCAGTTTCGCCTTGTTTCCCCCGTGGAACTTCGTTGGAAGATCCAGCAGCTGCCAGTAGCATTAAGCCTCCCCGCATCTTCCGTCAAGACTCCAGCCTCGGGAACGCCGACGATGACGAGAGAAACGGGAGGAGCGTGAGACATGTTGACGGTGTGCCAGGGCCCGACGCATAGGTGCCCAGGGAAATTCACCAAGTTTCATGGCTATCATGCCATTGTCATGCAATCAACGTTCCGGTACTCGGAGCCGGATTCCAGGGTGTATCCTGTATCCATGCGTGTCCGACTTGGAGACAAGCATGACAGGGCATGACAAGCCCAATTTTTCACCCACCCCTCACAACTAGTGAATCTGCTCCTGCCATCCCAAATGCACCTCCAGTTTGGTGCTTGGTCAGCGGCATTGCTGCGTGTGGCCGAGTCCAGCGTGTCTATGGCATCCTGAGGATGCCGTAGCCAATCAGTACAGACTGACACATGCAAAGCTTCTTATTTGGGAGTGAATTTCGAATCGGGCATCTTTGTTGGGCATCACATTCAAGGGGATTCATGCCCACCAATCACCAGTCACTGTTGCATGTGTCCAAACGGAGGGAACTCCAAACATGATGGTTTCCTTCAAGGGAGCAACCTCAAGGAAAGAGCCACCCGTTCACTTTGGCAAGAACAGCTGATGTTCAAAACCCAAGAAGGGAAGTACACAAAAACCCTCGTTATACTACGCAACCTGGCCCGGGCAACCATCGACTCGCAATGGCCTTTCCAATGCCCCATCCTGGTGTCCATCTGAAAGAGACTGTTTCTGCACTCAGAATCCTTGTGGAGGTCTGCTTTTCCAGGCAAGTTGCCCAGGTGACTGATCCCCGCGCTGATCCCGTTGCTGTGGATCTGAATCACGCATGTTGACAAAAACATGCATCACGTCATGGAGGCCCATGAAAAGAACATTTCGCGTCGATTTTATGAATGCATTGTCACTGTGGGACTACTCACGTTCCACGGGCCAAGGTACGGTACAGGAGGGCCTACTTGTTGTGCAACAAAACCTTGCCGAAAGTTTCGGTTTCCCGTACGGGTGAGTCTCACTTGGCGCCTGGTCGTCCGTCTCGACAGTCTCCTGCATCAGCCTGGCGCATAAGCCGTGTGGATCCCCTTCCCTACACGCGGACACTTTTTGCCGTATACGAGTTATGCAACGTTGCCGCTTCCATGGAATCCTCCGAGGACTTTCCTCCCAAGAGCCTCCCCCCACTTCGGCTGGCCCATCTGGCGCAAAATGGCACATCGCCCGGCACCATGGCCATCTCGCCTTTGACTGGTCTCCAGGGGGGCGAATTCAAACTCCTGCCAAGCGAAGCGCATTCAAATCTCGAGCATTCTGGAGCCAACAGAACCACCGAAGCCAGCTTTGCAACAGTAGCAGCTGCATGGACCTTGCTTTCGGGCTTCGTCTGGCATCTTTCATTAGACAACCACTGATTATCCCAAGGAGCGTTCAAGTCCCAAGCCTCTAGGTTGGAGGCAACAGGTGCAACCTCAAAGGACTGATGGAAACCCCCTAGTCCCCTACATGACGTGATAAATGATCTGAGAATATGTCAACAGCTTTGACGTGACCCATGTTTTATGACGTGGTATCTTTGCCGGCAACGCCTCCAGCTCGCCCCAGCGCCGCGACATCTTCCAGCCAGTCATTCCAGCACCTGACCCAGTCACCCTTTGGTCAAACTGACCAACCGAAAGCTGCTACGGGTCCAACGCGCGATTAATCCAGATCCTTTCACATTAAATGGAATCCGTTAAACTATGACTCCGAAGGGTGACAAAGTTAAAAAATGGGCAACCCAAATCCTGTGACCGATGGAAGGATAGAGGTCTGGATTTCCCCTACTTTGTGCAGGCGCTAAGGCAATGTCCAGTGGCACCAAAAAGAGCCACAGCACCAGCAGTACCTAGCCACGCTTCCAGGAATGCAGGCTCATCATTTGTCTTGCTTCAACACCCCTCACTAAGTGCACAAATGAGATGGGCTTCCCCGCACGTGGTGTGGTTGCGATCTCTGTGTGTGCGTGTGTGTCGTCCACAACTGTTGCATGTGTGTTGATCACTTAACAACATGTTTGTTAATGTGCGCGCGTGGTTGCTTGTCTATGTTTGCGCTTGCTTGCTTGCTGGTTGGATGGCTTGGTGTGTTGTTCAGTCCGCGATTGTTGTTGCGTGCCGGTCCGGAAGGTTTTGTTTTTCATCCATCCATCCATCCAGCCATCCATTTTTTCGTTGTCCTTTTGCAGTTTGTGCACGTTTGTGTTTGCGATCTTGTGCTTGTTAGTGTCGTATGCCGTGTCTGCGTGTCTGCGTGTCTGCGTGTCTGCGTGCCTGCGTGCCTGCGTGCCTGCGCGCCTGCGTGCCTGCGTGCCTGCGTGCCTGCGTGCCTGCGTGCCTGCGTGCCTGCGTGCCTGCGTGCCTGCGTGCCTGCGTGCCTGCGTGCGGGCGTGCCTGCCTGCCTGCCTGCCTGCCTGCCTGCCTGCCTGCCTGCCTGCGTGCGTGCGTGCGTGCGTGCGTGCGTGCGTGCGTGCGTGCGTGCGTGCGGGCGGGCGGGCGG